TGGTAGTTTGTATTCACACGTTTCCACTTAAAAATGTAAAGTTACAACGATTATTTAAAGAGACACGCAAGTTTCTTACTCATTCTTCTTGTGATGAGACGGCTTTCCGAATAAGTAGATTTAAAGAAGAATAACTGTGACTATTCAAAATTGCTTAAATTTAGTTTATTTGAATAAAAGATTTTCTATTCTACTTTATTTTTATATACTTCTTTGCTATTACAGTTATATGCTCATAAGAACATGTTTTGTTTGTTTTTTAAAAGTCTTATATTCTACTTTCCGTAGATACGCAGTGGAGAAATCTATTTTTATAAAAGGTATATCGGTCATTGCCTATCCATCATTCTGTTTACTTTGGCCCCAGCTTATCACCTTATTATTATTTTTAATGAGCACCCTTGTGCTCTTGTAATACGCAGTTTCTGCTAAGTAGGCATCTTACACTAATAATAACCGATACGATATTGAAACCTTCATGAAAAGAGCTTATTCCTTATTAAAAGTCCAGTTAAAATTAAAATTAAAATTTTAATATTTATACACATGTAAATAATAAAAAAACAAAAGAAAAAGAAAAAAATCGATATGTCTATATAAACTAGAACAAAATAAAAAGATAGAAATATGTATACATATATAAACTTCTGTAAACATTTACGCATGCCGTGGCAACCAGTAATTAAGTCAACACTATAATAATAATAATAATCTCAGGACAATTCACACAGCGCCATCTAGTCCCAAGTTAAGCTAAAAGTACAATATACCTGAACTTTTTGCAAGTGATAATAATTGTAACCTCATAGTGTATGTCTTGTTGGTCGCTCAAATATATAAATAAAAGGTCGATAACGCACTTGTAATTCTCCTAATGTTACGGGTGCTCATAGGCGGCGGTAATCACTTACTATCAAGTGAGCCGCATGCGCCTTTATCCCCTGTGCTATAAAAAATACTCTCTATTCTGCATAAGAAACAAATATTTACAAAACAAAATCTTAATATAAAAATATGCTATTAAAAGGCGGCCTTATCGCTAAAAGCAATTTCTTACAGACAACCTGGACAATTACTAGCTATTAGTCGCAGTTTCTCCTGCTTTTTGATTCATACTCCTGATGCAATCAATATATATTCATGACAAGTTTTATTAAGATTCGTTTAACAGTGAGAAGGATTATATTTATATATTTTTTAAGCTTATATTTTTTTCCTTTCTGTAATTTTGTCTTATCTGATTTAACTCTTTACTTTAGAACATGAATAACTAGCTGACCAAATTCGTCTGCATCACATTTTCACCGTTTATTCTCCAATTCATAATAGCGTGATGAATACTTCGAGTTGTCTATTTCCTTGTCCAAAGTCCCATCTAGATTTATACCTATTCCTAAATCTATACCTGTTATACCTTGTTCATCAGAAGACTGTGGTATAAACATGAAATCATAAAGAGAGATCTTTGTTCTATATTATGTTATTCTAATGTATAAGCTATGTTATTGTAAAGTTTTATCAAAATTCGTTCACCAATTTTTATGTAAAAGAGTCACAAACATCCGTTCATACATGCTCAGAATTTTTCCTGTTTATAATATTAGTAAGTACAAGGATATTGATATAAACTGGAATACGAAATTTAAATTGTCATGGTTATATATTAAGACAGTAAAAAAAGCTAAAAATTTGTCTATGGATCGTGTAAATTATTGTCTGTATTTTCCTTGATGAAAATATCTACTATACCTACAGATACGTTAACTTACCACCGGACTATATCAGTGGAATAACTTATTACAAAACATTATAAAGCTGAAGAGTTTGTTCGTTTAAACGCGCTAATCTCAGGAACTACTGAATTCGAATTGAAAAATTATTTTTGAGTTGGATAGATCATTTGTCGAGGAAGGCTTCATTACATAGTATAAAAGTCGCTGTCGCTGTCTGTCCCTATGTATGCTTAAATCTTTAAAACTACGCAACGGATTTTAAAGCGGTTATTTAAATAGATACAGTGATTCAAGACGAAGGTTTATATCTACATATAATACATGTAGTCCCGTGCGCAGCCGGGGCGAGTAACTAGTTAAGCTATATGACATTACGCTACGGCCAATAGAAGCGAAGCAGCAGTGAAAGATGTTGGAAAAACGGGGAAAATTATTCATTTTGAGGGCTTCCGTTGCATGCATCGCAGCCCGGAAGACATCCACTGCTGGACATAGGCCTCCCCCAAAGATCTCCACGCTGCGTCTTCCGGTCCGTGGTCGCCACTCGAGGACTTTACTGCCCCAACGGCCATCTGTCCTACGAGCTGTGTGCCCTGCCCATTGCCACTTCAAAGTCGCAATTCTTCGGGCTATGTCGGTCACTCTGGTTCTTCTGCGGATCTCCTCATTTCTGATTCGATCACGCAGAGTAACTCCGAGCATAGCCCTCTCCATTGCCCTCTGAGTGACTCTGAGCTTGTTGATGGGGCCCATAGTTAGCGACCACGTCTCTGTTCCGTCACTGGCAACATACACACAAAAAAGTCGCGAGCGCAGCAATAAATTTCACACAAGTGAAACTGCGGCGACTAGTAGTATTAATTAAGAAGATATCCCGGTAGATAAATAGATATCAATACAAAAATATTTTCATAGATATAATAATGTTATTTATTGTTTTTTTGAAGTAATTAGATACATATAAATATAATTCCTCTTCAGATAAATTTGTTTACTGTAAATTTTTATCTGCGTTGAGGTCATTATTTCTAAGTTATTTTATTTACTTTGTCCCAATTGTACGGTATGTCTAATTAGACATTAGATATCTTCCTCTATCCTAATTAATAAACATATAGTAGGTATCATAATAATAATCTCAGGACAATTCACACATCGCCATCTAGATCCAAGTTAAACTAGCTTTTGCTTGTGTTATGGGTAACTGATACAAATACATAAATATATTTTTATAGTAAATACATACATATTATACATAGAAAACATCAATTCAACACAAACGCTAACATTTGTATTCATATATATGATTGTTTGTATCGGTCTGGGTGTTTTCTATGTATAATATGTATGTATGTACAAGAAAAACCTATCTAAGTATTTATATCAGTTGTCTAGTACCCATACCCAACTTAATACAGTGTAGTCTGTTTTTTAATCCCGGACGCAAATTTGACATTACCGATGTTGCCAGGATTTTGTAATATTTAAATAGGGTTGTGGCACTATCGGAATTTAATATTAATTACCTATTTTTATAGGATACTCAAAAATAATGTGTGGGTGTTTATTTAAAAAGCATTATTACAAAATGTATATGGTTGTTGCATCAAAATATATTTTTTATTTTTCACTAAAATAAAGACTAACTATAAAATAAATGACCTTATGATGCCATATATCATAAAACATACAACTATTTAAAATATTTAGCTAATTGAAAGAAAAAATGTACGGAAACGACAAAAATATAATTTTGTATTGTAATGGAAACACTGGTATATGTACGTAAATATTGAATATCTGTTGTGGAAACGTCATCTAAAGCTTTAAAACTGATTACCGATTAAACAAATCGGTATCGCAGGCAGAGCACTACCGTGCTACAGGTGGTAACATTATTTGAAAATTTGACAATTACACCTGTCAATTTATTCTCCGGAATTTAAAAACATTCAGTTAAAAATATAACTGTTAGCGGGAATAGAATGTTGTTATTTTTAACACCAATAGGTTTGTTTGTATATAATGTTTTTACCTCGTCTTTTTGCGCCATAGTGTGTATCTCGTACAGCTTATCTCCGACCTTTGGGGTCATTCCTTGCTCTAATTAACTTGTGAACAGTTAGTGTTCGAAATGAAGATACGATTCACGAGATATCTAATTCTTCATACTATCATACAACTTACAATACTTCTTTTAATTAATGTGAAAATGACTTTATTTGTATGTGGTTTACTGTAAATACTTATTTGTTACCGTCAACGGCAATCGTTCGCCAGCATGCCCCGCTAAAACGACTACAACGCCATCTGGTTTGAGTGAGATAACCACCACAATATATTTTTAATTAATTAATATTATTTATGCTTATAAACTAGAAGTAAATATATAAATAGTAAGGATTAAATCTAATTATAGTTATGACATAAAATGTATGTTCTAAAAGTTTGATATAATCGTGTTTATTATTGAGTACAAGATATAAGTTCTGATTTGACCATAACAGTCCCACTGACTTTAAAAAGAACCACCATATTGTGTGCACAGACCCCTCCGATCGATCCCCCGTCCATTCAAACGGGGATCGAAATTACGACGGCCTGAGCCGAGGTTCGAACCCCTAGTGGTGCCCTCAGACTAAAGTCGTATCCGTCGGGCAGGAGTTGGCCTTCAGCCGCTCCATAAGTCCTTCCGCGGGTTTGGAGTGCCATCTGCACTCGCCCCATAACGTCCGGTGAAGCTGTAAAGGCCAGCTACGGCCAACAGCATTAGAGTAGTCCGAAAAAAAGAAAAAAAAGTGTGCACAGACCAGTTCGGTTTAGATGCTCGAAGTGAAAAATACATATAAGTGAAAGAAAAATTAATAGTCTCGTTGCTGCTTTCCCGTAACATATTGTAATATCAGGACAATCCATATAGTGGAATCTAGTCATAAGCTAAGCAGAGTTTGTTTAATTGGTACTAGACAACTGATATATATATATATACATGGGTAAATTTTTATTTTCTTAATACCTACATAGTTATATACATACTTAGACATAACCAGAACGATACAAACAATCATACTCATGAATCCAAATTTTTGTACCGTGCGAGGAATCAAAACAGCGACCATTTGTTAGGGAGTCTTTTTAATAACTTTCTTGTTTGTATTTTTGGGTAGAATTTTGTTTTGTTTATTATGTTTATTAGTTAGTTGTTGGAATGGGAAGTCTTGGATGTTGGTAGTAGCATTATAAATAAAATCATATGTTTTGTTCCAGGTGAATGCTTGACGTCGGGTCGGTATCCCTTCAAGTGTCTGCAGTTCGAGTTACCACCAGATGTGGAGCCAGAAGAGGTGGCAGTTGTGGAGCTGTGGTTCTATAAGGTATTGTTATGGCAATTTTATTGGTATACTATTACCACAGATATATTTATTTATTTATTCATTCATTAATCCGATCTTCAGCGATGGTCTAGTGGTTTAGTACACCGGTTTACTTTCGATAGCCGCGGGTTCGATTCCTCGCAAGGTGCAAACATTTGTATTCATGAGTATGATTGTTTGTATCTGGGTGTCTTATAAGTATATTATGTATGTATCTATAAAAAAAAATCGAAGTATACATATCAGTTGTCTAGTACCCATAACACAAGCTCTACTTGCGGTGGAACTAAATGGCGTTGTGTTAATTGTCCAGGATTATTTATTTATTTACTCATTCATCAATTCCATCATTTATTTATTGCAATATCACAAAAATATGTAGCACATGCATACAGAGTGTGGTTAAGTTCATCATCAAAATTCATCACCAAACACATGTTCTTCCTCAGGAACGCGATCCGTTGGACGAATACAACCAAACCTTCGTCATATCTGAAGCAGCACATTGGGACAGTCAGCAGCAATTCAAGAAGACCAGGCCAATAGCTATAAAGGAGACGGATATTGGAGAAGGCTGGGTGCGGGTGGAACTGGCGTGGGCCGTCAGGGTGTGGCTTGAGGGACGCGAGCGATTGCACACGCTGCATGTAGCGTGCAGGACTTGTCAGGTTGGTTTTAGATGTTATCAAATATAATAGACAGCCTCGGTGATCTAGCGGTTTAGCACATTGCTTCCAAGTTCCAATGTTCGCGGGTTCGATTCCTCGCTCGGTGCAAATATTTGTATTCATGATTATGATTGTTTGTATCGGTCTGGGTGTTTTCTATGTATGTTATGTAATATTAAAAAGGTCTAAGTGTTTATATTAGTTGTCTAGCACCAATAATACAAGCTCTGCTTAGCTTGGGCTGGATGACACTGTGGGAATGTTCCAGGGACATTATTAATTTCAAATTCAAATTCAAAATAATTTATTATTTTAGCCGCTTATGAACGTTAAATTTATTTTTTTCCCCTACCGTCCAGTTAGGTATATGGATCCAATTGAGAAGAACTGGCAAGAAACTCAATTGAATTACTTTTTTTTTAAAAACAAGTTTATTTACAATGTATAACATTAAAAGAAAATCCGATGCATGAACAACTATTGCCATGCACGCTCGTCATTCAAGTAATCGTTTAGTGAGTAATAGGCATTGCACCGTAAATATGATTTAAGACGTTTTGAATTTATTTAAGGGTAATTCCAATATATCTATAATATAATATATATCAATTTACCATAAACCATTTCATTTCACAGCTTCGGCGTGCACCACTCTCATTCCACAAGAAGCACCGTCCGTTCCTCGTGCTCTACACCAAGTATGCTGGTAAACACCGTCGTGGTCGAGCGGTGGATTGTTCAGCGACCACTAGCGAGTGCTGCAGGGAGCCGCTGTATGTGAGCTTTAAGGAGCTGGGCTGGGATGACTGGATCATCAGACCGGCGGGCTACCACGCCTACTTCTGCAAGGGCACCTGTGCTCCAATATCTGCTGTCACCACCGCGGAAAGTTATCATCACAATATTATTAGAGTGAGTATTGTATTTACTTTGGCAAAAAATACCTAAACCTTCCTCTTGAATCACTCTATATATTAAAAAGACCGCTTCAAAATCCGTTGCGTAGTTTTAAAGATTTAATCATACATAGGGACAGACAGCGACAGCGACTTTATTTTATACTATGTAATGAAGAAAAATTTTACGGTTACCGTTTTCCATGTGATGATGTGACGGTAATGTGCCCATCTGTGTGGTTTGTATAGGATAATTATAACTAAATGTTTAAGACTCGTTTGAGTTCTTGGACAAATAATAATAATCTTAGGACAATTCACACAGCGCCATCTAGACCCAAGTTAAGCTGGCTAAAGCTTGTGTTATGGGTACTAGATAGCTGATACATATATATAGATATATTTTTTTAAAACATACTTTTTTTTAATTATACATAGAAAACACCCAGACCGATACAAACAATCATACTGACTTGGCATTAGGTTGTCATGCTCAGGAGCGAGGACTATGTCCTAAAGAAAGTATTTAACAAAAACGTGGATGGATGGTAAGGGAGAGGACGACCAAAATGTGTAATGATACTCATGTTTATAGTAAAATAAATTTTATGTTGATTTAATTTAAGTGCAAAATGTTAATTTCTTTTGCTTTTGTCCTATAGAAATATTTCTACACGGTATCAAATAAGAAAATCCAGTTCAACCCGTGTTGCGCGCCTACCACATTCAGCTCGTTACAACTGTTGTATGTGGACTCAAACAATACGGTCACGCAGAAAACCTTACCGAACATGGTTGTGGAATCGTGCGGTTGCATGTGACCGTTCATTAGTGCTCCAGTGAACTTACAGACTAAGGTGTTAAGTGTTCAATCTACTTACTGACTCAGTGATATTTGCTAAATATATACAGTGGACAATTGATTTGATATTATAGTTTAAATTGTTATTTATACTAAAAATAGTTGCAATTGTATGATTGGATGGAGATAAAATATTGTGATATTTTTTGTTCTCCAGATGTTTGATTAGGGATAGGAAATGTTTTACTGCTGACAAATCGTATCTACTTACTATGTGGGTTTGATAGGCCGCTGATGTACAGTCGGTCAGTTGTTAGGTGGCGGATCTCTGAGGGTGGAGTATAGCAGCCAAATACGACCGACTGTATAACATCCGCCTAAGGCTGTTGATATTATCTTTTGTTTTGAACAGATTGATATTGAATTATGTCTTAATATAAGGCGAATCATACTCTTCAAAACTGAAACTATCAAATACAATACTTCATACTTACTACTAAACTAAAAATTTCAATGTCAAAATAATGAATTGCATCGAATGAAGGTCTTGATGATTTCCAGTGAGATTACCGATACTCTGTAATATTTTTACGAGAACTTTGTTTTTTTAGTGTTAGTAAGTATATTAAAGGATAGTAAATAAATTTTATATAATTAAAATCCTATAATGACTCTTTTAAAAGCATATTTTTAGGACCGTTTGTCTACAACTGTGGAGTGTAGCAGTGAACATTTTCATATTCCCTTTGTGTTTGGGAAACTCTTTTACTTAAGTTTAAATTGTGATATAGTAAGTTTTAAATAATTATAATTGTACAGGATTAGTCGTAAAATACATATATACGTATATATCAAGCTGAAAACCAATAGAATATACTTAAAAACTTTCACTAAGTAACAAAATGGATTGGTAATAATTTTTGCCATTTTTATTATTTAGTGTAAAGATTGAAAAAATAGTTTCACGTTATTGCAGACCTCACATCATAGAGATGACATTAAAAATTATATTCAATATTCTACTTTATGGCGGCTCAACTATATTTAAAAATAACTACCGTAAGTAGCGAACTTCCGGTAGCTACCGGAAGTGGCGATATCAGGCTGGCAACGTTTAGGGCGCTGCTGCGCTTAGACCTTTGATTCTTTGTAAAACATTCAGTATCATGGCTACTGGCTTTTAGTTCTTACTTACTATTAATTTTGTACACATAAATATCTACTTATTCTATATGTTTGAAATCAATTGGATTTCTCTTGTGATTCAGTTTATTATAGATTATTATATCAATGCATTTATAGGTTATGGTTAATGACGATTTATTTCGATATGCATAAATATATAAGTGAGAGAAAAACCTTTTACATTTGCCATAAGAGACGCTCGATTGGTTGCTATTCAAAAATCATTTGAAATGCGGCGATTGACTATTAAACCGATCGTCGACAGGAGCCGTCCGATTGTTATCGGAAGTGTGAGACCAGGCTTACAAGGCATCTCAATTGATCGATATTACGTGTAGATAGTTTTCTGTTTATCTGGCTCTTTTGAGTTATCTTGAATACGATTGCATGTGTTTTTTCGTACACCTGTAATGACGCAAAACATATAGCATATAGTTTAAAACATATTCCTACTAATTATGTATTATGATGTTTATATGTAATTCATATTTGCTGAAAAGTTTTTCTGTTAAATATATTTTATGCATATCGAAAATTTAATTAATTATTGTATTTACGATAATTAGAATGTAATATTACGTATGATAAATTATCATTGTTTAGTACTACTATTAATAGTAGAAATTATAATATAAATATAATAGGAAAGTTTGTAATATATGTATAGGTATTTAAGTAATATTTTTAGTAAACTGTTCCTATAGATTTAATGTGTTTTTAGCATAAATGTTTTTGATATAAACTAAGCAACTTTAATTTTAATTTATTATTGTGATCCCATACTAAATATATAAATAATTTTATTAATTTTTACAATAACATTTTTGAAATATCACTTTAGCTAAATTGGGATCCTATTTATTTTTTTCATAAATGTTCCAATCCAAACTTGGTTTTAGATGAAGAAAATATTAGATGCCATTATTTTTTTAATAACAATATCTAAATACATATAATAAGGCTTTAGGACCAGGAAAATACTTTCTTAAATATTTAATTATTGTAATTTGAACTTAAACTTAACTACTTAAATATCACATTATGAAAATAATATTCTTTTATACCTACTCATTATTTTTCATTAAATTACTTTCTTTTGACAAAAATGCAATAGCATACCTACTCTATATCTACTACATTCTCTATAATTGAATAAAAATTAATCTGTAATTTTGTAATCATGTACAAGCTCAGTTGAAAAGAATAAGAGCCGAGTTTCTTGTCAGTTTTTAGCTCAAACTCACTCCTAACTGACAGTAGATTTGACATATCATAATCTGTGGTAGGTCTACATGAATAAAGATATTATGCTTTGATTTAAAATATTACTTATGCTTTTATTATGTTATTTTCATAATGTGATTTTTATATACTGTGAATGATTTAATTTTAAGCAAGGACAATTTTTTATATTCCATTAATTTTATCAATGTACTTAAAGTTTTTTCTGATAATTGGACATTGCGGACGGTTGCTTTTGTTGAAAACAGTAAAATTAAGTGTGGCAATTGTAGTGTGTGCGATTGTTTCTTTACTATTAATATTACTGTAAGACATCAGTATCTTACTTGCTCTAACTCTAAGCTTGTATCTCTAGAGATATTTGGTGCTCCAGGATTGCCAACTTAAAAATATGGAGCCTCGTATGAGGTTATCTTCAAATGATGTAACATGTGGAGGGGTTGAGAAAATGTGACATTATATAACAAGGGTTTCGTAGGTGACAAACTTTGTGTACAATTCCATAATTCCGAGGGTTTTAAATTTTCTGACATGTACATGAAATGAATGCGCCTTCCTAGGGTTTTAAATTTTGTGACATTACATTTATAGTAATAGAAATAGAAATAATCTTTATTCAAATAAACTCATTACAAGCACTTTTGAATAGTCATATTTTGATTCTACCACTCATTCGGAATGCAGATTCATCACAAGAAGAATGAGCAAGAATCTTGTGTGTTGCTCTTTTTAATAGATGTTTTTTTTATATAAATAATTACAGTGTAACAAGTAAGAGGCATGCGACAATCAACATAGAAATCGCTACGCACTCATTATTAGTGTAATCAGATAATATTGTCAGTGCTATGTATTTAAAATTTTTCTACAAAAACATTATTATCGTTAACGAATTCTTCAATTTTATAGTAAGCTTTTTTGCAAAGGAAGTGTTTTATTTTACATTTAAATCTTTTTTCTGGCAGATTTATAACAGACTCTGGTATTTTATTGTAAAACCTTACGCAATTGCCATAAAACGAATTACTAACTTTAGCCAAACGACATTTAGGTAAAATCAGTTTGTTATTGTTACGTAAGCTTTTATTAGTGCAATCACTAACTCTTTTAAAACTGTCTATATTCTTCCTGGCATACATGATATTTTCATAAATATATTGAGAAGCAACGGTGAGGATATTTGATTCCTTAAAGCACTCTCGCAAAGACTCCCTGGAACCCATGCTATAAATGGAGCGAATGGCCCTCTTTTGTAAAATAAAAATTGTATTTATATCAGCTGCTTTGCCCCATAACAAAATACCATACGACATAATGCTATGGAAATAGCTAAAGTACACAAGTTTAGCCGTTGCCACTAACTTATAGGATTAAAACTTATAAGATTTTTTTAACTTATAGGATTAAAACTTGTACTTTTAACTATTAAAATGTGACCATCCGTAACAAATGAGGGGGTAGGGGGATATAGATATATTTATATATTAACGTAATTTATGCTAACCCCGTATGACGAAATAAAAAATCCGATAAACCTCATACATTGGCTCCATTCGTCACTCCAACCTCATACATCATTGTTATTTGACCGATTTCCGTAGGTCAAAATCTCGTAGAAACTTGTACGATGATGAAAATGTACGAATACGGAAAGCCTCGTACCAAACGACACTAATGAGGATTCTCGTACGATTACCATTCCTGGTGTTCCCAATAATAACAGTTTATTCTTAGAGAGACTTGTATATAGTGTAATGGCCGCATACACTACAACACTTCAAGTATTATGTAAAGTAATTCTAGTATGTAATTGTTTAGAATAAGACTTGTTATATAATAATCTTAAAATACACTTAAATACATTCCTATTTTGTGTTTTAATGTTCCCCATTATTTTTACAAATAAACATGGAAGTTTGTGAGTGTGGATTGGATATTTGTTACTCTTTCACGCAAAAGTACAAAATAAAACAACATAATCTTATCAACATCACATGATTTACTCATTATAAAGCACAAGATCACAAAAAATGCATCTAAGTCATAATTAAATTATTATTCTGACAATAAATTATAAACAGTAAACTTAAAACTAACAGCCAGACCATAGACAATCTTTAGATATGGCCGTAAATGTCGACTGACAGGTCATAGACAACAATCAAATTGTTATCAGTATATACACAGCATCTAAAGAGAATTGGTTGCCATAAATCTTTCTATGTCTAGGCTTTGTGGGGTAAAGCGAATGCAAGGAAACTCGCCGTTGTGTCACTTCCCTTATTAGCTATTAAAGTTGGAGTGTAAGCGAGATGGAAGACACCCGAAAGATAATGCTACATCTATGGCTTCATGTTCTTTCATTTAATATACAGTTAACATTGAAAACATTCATTTATATATAGAAATAAATGTTTTTAATATTACTTAGTATATATATAGTTACTTTATATGAGTCATCTAATAGTTACAGAAACCGAAACGCATGCAATTGCAACTGTCAAATGATTATTACATAATCTCAAATAGTGTTAATGTTTCATATCAAACGTTAATGCCTTTTACATTGTTTATTAGGACATTAAATCCATAATTATCTTCTTGGCGTTAGACTTCTTGGACTCAATGTATACACAAGCAAATGTTATTGAATACAAATATAGTAGAATAGGTCTTAGTAAATATAAATGTAAATTGGACTATTCTTCGCATTTAGCGTCTCATCTGGGCCGCTGCGCGACATAACTATATATTTCATTCCCAAATTTGAATTTAAAAATTAATTATTATAGTAAACATGCACAACCTTATTTGAAAAGAATACGAGCTGAGTTTCTTGTCAGTTCTTAGCTCGAAAGCACTCCGAACTGACAGTAGATTTGACATAGCATAAGAGTCTGTAATAGATATCTTGAATTGATTGACAGTTTTTTTCATTCAAATATAGCCCTACATATTCTCGTGATAATAAATTTCCGAGGATGCTATAGGATAACCGAATAAAACAATATATAATCTATAGGCTTTCTTAAACATATCGGGGTTAAACATAATGTTAATACCAATACAATTACGTAGAATACTCATGAATCTGAACCAGTTCACAAAGAGGCAAAGTGAGAAATAATAACACTGGACAATTCACACAGCGCCATCTAGTCCGAATCTAAGCAGAGCAGTACTAAACAACTGATACAAATACTCAACTATATTTGTTTTGTAAATAAATACTGAACCTGTTAACCAGGGAATTCCTTTTTGAATTACGCAGCATATACGGGCACTGTCTCTCACTAGGCGTGTCTGTATGTCAGCACAATATAATTTAATGTATATATTTTTGATATGAAATATTCCACCCGCTCCAGGTTCCAGAAATTTAAAAAATGTAGGTATACATACATCCTACACATACACAAAAGTTTGACGTTTGATGTATTTATACATCCCGCTCGGTTAACAGGTGAATCTATGCAGGAAACTCTAATATAAAATAATATATATAGAAAACATCAATATAAAGAATCCTATACTTGAATACATGTTTGCATGTTACGAGGATTCGAACCCGCGATCCACCGACACAGATTTTTAAAACCTTCACGCAAATAAATTAGTTAAGCGGTCAATTCAGCAAGAGAAGTTGAAAACATATTTTCATTTTCACACTTAGTTTTTTAGTGAAAGTGGTGCAATTTCATGAGATTCTACCTGGCCATTCGGCTTGGTATACCTTTTATTACTAACCGCGTAGAAAGATTATATAGATTTGACCAGAACATAACACTCCGTCGTTATTGTAATAAATATAATAATCACAGAAATTGAGGAAGCATGTACCAATTACAGCAGAAATATACTTATTTTGAAACTTTCGTATTTAACACATATTATTAATGTAATTAAACTATTATTATATAAAATTATTCGTATTAAAACCCGTTTAACTGTATTAATAATCTGGCAGAAATATGTTTTTTAATTGCTGAAGTGCTAAATCCATTATTTGTTCCAAATTAAAATAGTAATTCAATGTTCACAATGGTTCATAGTTTTCTATAATTAAAGTCATGAATTTCTAGAGATTATGTTGAAGTTAATTAAAAAAAAATATATAAAATAATAATGTAATTAGACTGTAGTCTGTATTATGTAGTAAGTGTGTTGTCGAGTTAGTGCAATAAAAACTTCTCGAGTAGAAAATGTGTTTGAGTTACGAAGTCTTATGTTTTTGAGAAATATTCCTTCAGTTCATATCGTACTCGTAAATCATCTTTAAAATCAATGAATGTAGACTTGATTGTCTAAATATATATCTAAAATTAATCAATATTAAAAACATACATTAATTTTACAAAAATAATTTACAATTATGAAAATTTAGATTACTATCCATACCATAAACCCATGTCTAAACGAGTATGAGAGAATAATCTTTATAGAATGTAGAGTTTAAACTCTAAATGTACACACACACGTCTGAAACTCCATCGAATTTGATAAAAATAAGGACATAGATTTGGCACTTCATAAAATAAATTTAATCCAGTAAAAAAAACCATGATGTGACGATTAATCACAGGTCACATAATGGTTTAATTAAAAATTTTACTAGACTATTATTGCCATTTCGATGATGTTTATTTCTGCGTATAATTGGACATTTGGGCTCCGTTTTGTGACTTAAATTACTTACAGTTACAACTTATACCTAGGGACAACACTTTTGGAATGGTTTGTATAAATCACAAGCCTTGAATAATTTGGCCTAACGTATACGGGGCGTATCATATTGTCTACAAACAATTTTAACTAATGGAAGAACTTTATATAATTTAGAATTTATAAATATAATGTTAATTAATATTTCATAAATGTTTTATTATAAAATTTCATTTTCATACAACTTTGATGAGTACAAACAATTTAAAGTAATGGAAGAACTATCTATAATTTAGTATTTATAAATATAATGTTAATTAACATTTTGTAAATGTTTTATTATAAAATTTCATTTATTTTATTACTAATCACAACTTAATAAATATTCATATCATGATACAGTGATAGTAATTATGAAATTATTTCATTTATGGGTCGTTTTTTTTTAATGTTATAAATGTGAGTTTTCAAAGATGTTTATATTCGATTGGAACTCAGAATTGATATTTACTTCTTATTTTTTAAACTATAACATGTAGTTTTAATAATAAGTCTAGTTTCACTTCGTCCGGGTTGACAACTACGAGCATTAATAATTAATTAATAAATCATCTCGGTGAATAGAATAAGACGTTACAATGTTTACTTTATTATAATGGCAAATCTGTTTTTTTTTATACTACGTAAGTGGCAAACAAGCATACGGCCTATCTGATGGTAGACGGTTACCGTGGTCTATAATAATAATAATAAAAATCTCAGTGCAATTCACACAGCGCCATCTAGTCCCAAGCTAGCTAAAGCTAGTGTCATAGGTACTAGATAACTGACACAAATACATAGTTTTTTTTTCGTACATACATATTATATATAGAAAACACCCAGACCGACACAAACAATCATACTCATGAATACGAATGTTTGTGTCGTGCAAGGAATCAACCCGCGACCATCGGAAGTAAGGCGGTGAACTAAACCGCAAGACCACAGAGGCTGTTGTTTCGGTCTCATTGAATAAACAATATAGACTTTGTATAAACTCGTCTGCGTTGGTACTTTTGATCACTTATTACAGTCTAATGGATTACATCGTATTCGAATAAGTGAAACAAAGGTTCCACTATCATATCCCATTCTTAACATTGGTGCTATAGTAATAGATGCTGCATAAATATCTATATTAGATTACTCACTAACATTACAAATCTCTGTTTAAAATGGTTCAAAAATAAATGGTTTAAAGTTTACTTTATATGTAAAATGGATGACATTATATGAATTTCTATTTTTAATATTATGTCGCAGATTAATAAGCTAGCATTTATGAATCTGTTTCTAAAACTTACTCAGCACCATATCAAATTTCATAACATTTAAATGAATAATCAGCGAACAAGTCACAAGTAATAAACTAGTTCATGAACCCTGCTTGGCCTGGGTATTCATGAAGTTCACGAGCTCTTGGACTGATGTTTTTAAATTCAACTTATGCAGTAATAAAGTAGGGCTACCCATATATAAGGGCACACGAAATTGATATTTTTTTACAGAACAAACTTAGTGTAATCTTGTTATCAAAACAATTTGTACCTTACTGTTATAAAGTTATAGTTAAAAATACATTACATTATTCGTTAAGAATATTATTGTTACATTATGAAATGTGACGTTCCTTTCACCCCCTTGTCACATTAACTGCCTCTAAATGTACTGTTTTTCACGCGCAAATCGGCTTTTACGCAGGAAATAATGTCTGTAAGAAATTGCTTATAGCGATAAGACCGCCTTTTGTAATTACTGTACTATTTTACTGTATTTTCTTATTATTATTGTCTATGTTATACATTTACATGGACAAATAATAATAATAACTCTTTATTGTGTACACAGAAGAAACAATGAGTCAAAGAGAAAGAGAAAGAGAAAGACCGCGCGCGCAAACTGTGAGCGCATTCCCGTGTCCTTCAATCGTGCGTGCTTTAGCGCCATTTTAAAAATAATTAATTATCATTCCAAAATGGCGGACATCTGACTACGAAGCAAAAACATAATTATAGAATTATTGATAATTTATAAATCTTTGGAAAATAAAATCATTGTAATAAAAAAAATTAAACGGAAATATAATAATATGGATCACACGATCAATATAAGAATGAACACAAGATTCTTAACGGTGTGTTGTTTATGGTACAGACCGACCGAGTCACATGGAGCGGAGCGCGTTTATTTAGGCTGCTGGGAAGTAGACGACTTCTCAGCAGCCGGCAAGTCGAGGAAAAGGAGTTAGAATCGATAATTAAGAAAACTGAACTGTATCAGAAATGGAGATGGAACGGGACTGTTTGTGTGTGTGTGTGTATTTCTCAATTTTCCTTAAAAAGTATATTTCAAGGAAAATTGAGAAATACTGTATAGTTTTTATGGGATGGAGTTTGGTACCATTCGATATCAAAGTTTATTCGAAGTGGTGTACTCCTCTCTGTATTTTTCAGGATTTCTATTATTCTTTCCGTGGCCTTTGTGGTACAAGCCAATAATATTACACTTTGTGAAAAGTCACTCTTCATTGACCTTCAACTTCAGTGTGTCACACGTTATTGATCTTCAACTACAGTATGTCACACAATGTCACACTTTAGTGACCTTCAGTATCCTTCAACATGTGACATAATATATAGATAGCCCTATTTATGAAAACCTCACTCAACTTTATACGAAATCTCAATAACTACTTAACCTAAGTGGCTCAAAATTGGCAGGTAGACTCCTGATGGAGAACACAAAAATTCTCTAACATCCCCTGAGGAGGAATATCCTGGACCATACATAGACAGTGGCGTACTGTTATAGAAAACGAAAACCAACCGGTTGATTATGTAACACAAACATGAAATAGATTGTAGAAGTTACAACAATTATTTAAAGAGCAACACGCAAGTTTCTTGCTCGTTCTTCTTGTGATGAGATAACTTTCCTAATGAGCGGTTGATTAAAAAATATGAAAGTCCATATTTTAAAAGTGTTTAAATTTCAGTTTATTTGAATAAAGAATTTTGTATTCTATTTTATTCTTTATTCTATCGAAATTAACAGTTTTTGGAACTAAATTGAGTTTTACTGCAGATTTATCTGGTTATAATATTTCGGTAAATAAAACAGATATGTATGTTTGTTTCGTCTTTTTGTCATACTTTTACGACTAAATATCAGAACATAAAAAGACTGTATTACGGAGACGGATATAGGCTATCATTTACCGCAAGAAATAGTCCGAACGGGGGTGAAATAGGACATGAAAGTCTGCAGATTAGGTCGCGGGTAAAACCTAGTATTTAATATAAAGAATCCAGTGGATGAATAGCTAAAGTCACGCACGTTTGTCATCTAGGAAAATATGTAGTGTTAGAGTGTAAATTTAACTAATATTTCATATAAAAAATTTCGATCTTAAGACCTTACTTCGTAGGATCATTTCTATAGTAAGTTCTGCAACCTGATCGAATTTATTTAAACCTAGATTAATAAATCTTTGGCTACGCTTGTTCATCTTGTTAATAAATACTTATTACTATTTTATTGTACAAAAAAATATTTATTATTTATATATTCCAAATTATTATACTAAGTTCATTTCAATAATGATTTTTCTCTTTCTAAACTATTTCCAAAATCTTCCAACCTTTTTAAAATTGTTACAGTAATTTGTCACTTTCTTTCTGATGAAGAAACCAACTTGTCAGAACAGAATAAATAAAAACAGTTCACTAAGATAGGTTTGGCGTTTCTATGAATAAGGCATTTCTTTTATAGAATATAAATACTCATTTTAATGCATCGGTCTAGCCTTATCCTCAACTTTTGGCACGCCACTGCCTACAAAGTCGCGTTTAACAGCTAGTGTCTAAGAAAAACACGTGTAATTACGTTTTTGCACTTCATTTGTCCCCAGTGGTTAGTTTGGCCGTCTCGCTGTCGGTGGGCGGTGCGGGTTCGGTGCTCACCACTTTGATGATGGTCGGGATGGGCGTGGTGGGAGGTTCCGGCCTTGTCGCCAATGTCAGGACCCCAGAATTGACGTCTTCAATTGCTTTCCGGAGCTGCATATTGAAATATTATTATAAATAATGATTGTTGACCGACCGCCGAACTCTTTTGATATTTTTATTATTTTTAAATTTATATTTTTGAAGAGTTCTTTTTTATATGTCATGTTATTTGATATACTTCAATTTATTGTATCATTCTATTATTGTCTTTCGTGTAGTTCGCAATTGCACATATTAATATATTATATTATTGCAAACTACGTGTTTTCATCATTTAGACACACATACAGTCCACCAATCCATTACAACGATAACACTATCAATATTATAAATGCGGATGTTTGTCAGCGTGGATGAATAGATATTAAGGATATTTACACTATTATAGCTTATACATTACAATAATACATAGGCTATACATTCCACGCGGGTGAAATCGCGGGCACGGCTAGTATTAAAAAAAAAATAGCATTTAATGAATGAGTTATCTAATATTAAAATAATAATAAACTCTCTATTGTGCATTTAGAAGAAATACAATAAGAAAGAGAGTAAATACAACAAACAGAGAAGCAATTTCCAATAGACTATTTGGATATATTAAAAAAAGGAATGATTTAAAAATTGGTTCAGTATACTGAACCAATTTTTTAGATATATCTAGAGACTAAACTGAAAAGCTGCGACTAGCCAACGCTGCGTGATATATGTAATTATCTTATTTAAGTAATGATTATTTAAATATAATAATATGAAACAATAATGACTTACTTCCTTGAGCGAGACGACTCCTATGAGTCGACCGATGGCAGTTACATACGCCCGACTCACGCCCAGAGTTGAGAACAATGAGTGCACCTGGAAATGTTTAACAAATTAATTCATCATCATCATCAGCTCGGGAGAAGTCCAAGCCGAACAAAGGCCTCCTCCAGAAATCTCCACGACGATCGGTCCTATGCTGATCGCAACCAACGCTTTCCAGCGATCTTGACCAGATCGTCGGTCCACCTTGTCGGAGGCCTACCCACAAATTAATTATTATGTGCAAAATTCGTGTGCAGTTGATCAATTGGAAATTTATTAAGTAATTAAACTTGATTGTGAATTTCTCATATAACTGAAATGGCAATTAAGCTGGTTGACCACCTAGCTGTAAGTGGCAATGGTTGCATATATACATGAAGAGGGCCACGTACACGTGGAGTACCCCAAGGCAGTGTTCTAGGACCTTTATATTAATCGTATATATAAATGAATCCACAAACAATTCAATGACTTTATTTGCAGATGAGAGTAGTTACATGTGTTGGTAAATGATAACCGTTGCCTGTACATGTGAAGAGAACCACGGACTCGTGGGGTACCCCAAGGCAGTGTTCTAGGACCTTTACTTTTTCTCGTATATATAAATGAGTCGACAAACGATTCAATGGCTCTTTTTGCAGATGAGAGCACAGTTACATGTGTTGGTAAGTGACACTCGTTGCCTGTATAAATGAAGATCGCCATGAATAGAGGAGGTACCCAAGGCAGTGTTCTAGGATCTTTACTCTTTATCATACGTATAAATGAATCCACAAACAATTCAATATAGGTATTTTCCTGTTATTCTTCTAATTAATTATAGTTATAAATAAATAGGTTTATGTACTTTGAGTAGCGACGTCCTCTCCACCAGCTGGAAGGGAGCTGGATCTATGTGGCACATGTACAGGTTCTCGTCTTCGAACTCCGTATCCTCGGGATGCTGTGGACATTTTAATTATTTGTTTATTTGTTTGATATAAATTATTGAACGAATTTTTTAATACAATTTAAAGAAATTTACGAAAAAATAAAGTATAAAAGTATGCCAGTTGAGTTTCTTGCCAGTTCTCAACCGTTGTAGCTAGCCGAACTGGACTATAGGGATAGTGATCAAAAATATAACGTGCACAAGAAGCCCAAAGATCCTAAGTTAATAAATAATTGTGAGTTTGGCTTTATATTTTATTCCAGTAACTATTAACAAAGTTACTTAAAAAAAATGTTGATCGACGAGAATCCCCATGTGAAGTTGACCTATGTTTTCCCGTCGACTAACTGACTTAACTTCATGCTATGTGAACTGATGACTCCATAAGCTCGTTTGACGTGTGTGCGAATAAATAAACACGTACCATGTCTCTCTTCCTGGCGATCTGCAGCATCCTGTCGAAGTCTATATCTTTGGCCATCTCGAGCTGCTCCCAAGCCTTCTGATCCTCCGGAGACATGTCACACACTCGCTCGCGAGGCTGCACAGACGATTTATAAGATTAATGTCCGAATTAATATCAACAGCCATCCTGATAACATATTATGTGATGTGTGTAATGCATTGTCATTCCTGACGTCTAGGATATCACTACTGAGCTAATTTTGGTGAAACTTTACAGTAATATAGCTTGCACATCAGAATAACACGACACAAATAGAAAGATATTAGGTAAATTGGGCGAAATATAATGATAAATTGATGCAGACGAAGGGTCAGTAGATTATATATAACTAACTGTGCTCGTGGTATCACCTGCATGAAATTGCTTGTGTTATTCTGATGTAGAAGCTACTACATTACTGTAAATTCATCAAAATCAGTTTAGTAGTAGTTTTTGCAGTTTTCTTTCTTTCTCTCTTTCTCTCTCTCTCTCTCTCTCTCTTTCTTTCTTAACAAACGACCATCCACACACAAACTTGCATGTTTATAATATTAGTAAGACGTGTCTTGATCCGACGTTGGTTAAACCAATTGTAGAGGGAAGGGGGTAGTTAGCAATGTGGAGCAAGAACCTCGTTAAAAGCAATGTACTATGTCAGGTTGACCTCCACGTGGTTCCCTTGGAAACCATCGTGATAAATTCATGGTGAATTTACCACGACCTGACCTCATGCTCATCTTATCAACCTCCACAGGTGCCAGCGTAAACCATTAGCGCAGGCGGGTATACTGTTCCATTACTATCCATAAGAAAACTTACCAGCTGGACTTTTTTGTATATGGAGGGACTCCGCGGTATACCAGGCGAGGCCAGACCACCTTCCGCCGTGTGGCTGTCGTGCACATCTTGCAACATGGAGGAACGCTTGAAAATCGCTTCGAACGCCGCGCGGATCCTGTTATTACATGATCAAATTTATTGTATACGTATTTTTTATATATAAATGGAAAATAAGCGAACTGGCGACCTGATGGAATGTACCAATAGATGTATATATACATGAACAGCGCGACAGAATAATGTTGAATTTTTTTTAATTCTCTGAAATGTTTCCGACATCAACCCACAGATGGCACCACTCATCATTAAAAGCTAATGAACATAGTTTTGCATCTTTTGACATTCACTCAATAAAGTTCTGGCCGAATTGTTGGTGAGTAACTGACAGGACACTGGTCTTCTGCACTCCTCTAGTGGGGTGAAGGTTGGGCCCTCGGGGCGAGCCCCTTTGCCCCGTCATGAAATCCGGGGGGTAACAATCCCCGGGTAATTGGATTAACAGCCTCTTGGAGCGGGTTTCAAAAACTAACTTAAATTTTAAAATCTAAGCTAGGGGAAAAATATATATTTAAATTAACATATCCTAACGTAAGAGAAAGAGAACTTTAGAGAGAGAAAAAACATTCCCCTAGAAACAACTACACTTGAAAACTATTCAAACATTCACTAGCTTTTATTGACGAGTGCTGCCATCTTTGGGTTGAAGTCGGAAACTTTTCGGACCGCCTATGTATGATGCCCTGCCCTGATCATTTGCCAGGTTGAGTAAGCGACCTGGTCTCCGCGCCGGTGACGGTGGTGTAGACGGAGGGCTGCGGGGAGGCGGCGGCGTGCGGGGTGGCGGGGGAGCCCAGGCCGCGCGTCAGCGTGAACGAGTTCGTCTTCTTCAGGATCGACTTCGGACGGAACAGGTGCCCTGGAGCTGGTTGGGACATATTCATTAATAATTAGCGCATATTTTTAATTTTAGCGATATTGAAAACCGTAAAAAAGACAACTACATTTTTTGGATTGGATTTTTATACCAAACTCTAAATTGGCCACACTTCTAAACTGAAAAATATATCTTATTTGTTTATTAACACATTATGAATGGGGCAGGTATTTTAACCTATATTAATAAATATATATATATTATATGAATATATATTTTTCCCTTAAAATAAGTAATTTTAACGTATTTCAAACTTTTAAACGGCAATGTGCGGAACGTGTTCTATTACCTTATAAGTGGCAATCCTCGGAACAAGTACTAATACGAACCTCGCTCATAATGTGTTAATTAACTATTACGTGTTAAAATTCCAAAGCAAGCAAGCAAGCAAATTGGCAGAACATTGAATTAAAAAATATAATCCAATATGATGATCAATATGATGATCAATCATGATACATGAATATGAATAATTTAAGTTAGTTATCGTTTACTGTTCAACCGGTCCCTTTTCTACCAAATTTGAACATAAAATAAAAAATAGAAAGTACTGTAGTATAACACAACAACTAAATTATTTGCATATAAGATTAGATCTTAGAACTCTTTGCAAGTTTAAGAAAACCGACCACTACTGTATCGTAATCCAAAAGTTTATAAACTCACATGGTAGCAGTCCACCCTGGTCCTTCGTAGTCAGGGATCCGCCCCTTGTCATTCCACCTTGAGCTTGGAGCATATCAGGTGCTGGAGTTACCTGTATCAGATCCACGTTATACTCCCTGTCTAATTATAATCAAAACATTACATTCACCATACCAGTTACATAAACAAATCATTTGCTTAGAAACAAAAAAATATGGTAAAAAAAGATTTGCCTTTTTTTACCATAATTTTTTATTGAATGCTATAGAAAATAGACAAGGGAAAATATTAGGACTCTTGATAGCATGGCAGCCTCGGTGGTCTAGTGGTTTAGCACACTTCACTATCCGATGGTCGTGGGTTCGATTCCTCGCACGGTACAAACATTTGTATTCATGAGTATGATTGTTTGTATCGGTCTGGGTGTTTTCTATGTATAATATATATTTATTTAACAAAATAAATGTATCCATGTATTTATATCAGTTGTCTAGTATCCATAACACAAGCTCTGCTTAGCTTGGGACTAGATGGCGCTATGTGAATTGGCCTGAGATATTCTATTATTATATTATTACTTGATACGGCACGATCAATTTATGAAAAATATTATTGAGGGAAAAATTTAAGGAAAGAGGGGAGGAGAAAACCAAGGCACAGATATATCAAACAAATTGGAGGCAAAATTGCAGTCGTGTCGTATCAACATTTAAAGAGCGTGATGGAAGATCGTGGTAAGTCGCAAGAGCTCCACCGACAAGAGCATGTCTCTTAAATTATGAATGAATGAATGAATGAATGAATGAATGAACTGGAATGGTAATATAAGCTTTATAATCAGATGTTCTATTTCACAATGATAATCATTAGATTATCATTGCAAATTCTGATTATAAAGCAAAGACAAAATTATAGAGTTATTGATATTTTATAAATCTTAATGTGTCTTTGGAAAATAAAATATGTGGAATAAAAAATATGATTTTAAAGAAAGTGAAATGACATGAACCATACGCGTAAAAGAGTGAACGAAAAAAAAGATCATTCGAGATTGCACGCACAGTCTTCCCCGCGGTAATCAGCGCGTGCTCCTGACCCCGCGTGAAAAGACGTGTCGTGTAAATACTGCTTATGACTAAGAGACAAAATTCCCCGTATCTAACCTCAAACCTGGAAGGTCTCCTGACCCTCTTCCGTTCCTCATCACGCCTCCTCATCTCCGCCTCCCTGTACCATTGTGCTGCGATCTGCAGCCTCCTGTCGCGGCCCACCTGCCGTTCTATCACCCTCACCAACTCCCACCTGTGTATGGACCCCAGTAACACCATGGACGCAGGACTGTCGACCAGTGGGAAGCTCTTTATTGCCTGGAATGGTTGTAATAAGAAATTAATTGTCATGACTGCAATCTTTGACGCCCCGCAGCTAGGTGGAGTGACGATATACGTAAGGTCGCGGGTGAAGCCGATACAGTTAAGCGTGGAGTGGTGGTGAAATATTCAGTAATGAAAAACGATTGAAGTTTCCAGCTGTCCGTGTCGCTTGAGCATAGATAGCGTGAGGATAGTGGACGCGTTCGCCTGCGGTGCGAGGGAGTGATAACTGCTCTAGATGTCGCTATTTACGCACAAGCGGTGGCATCAATTTAATTACCAAATAAGTAGGTATACAGGTATGTAACATTAAGTTTTACAGATACACCCTACAAACAAACAATATATTTTAACAGTGAAGTATCAATTTATGCATATATGTAGTAAAAGGTAAGTAATCATTTATATTTGTATGGTTATTTCTATATATTGTTATGTGTTTATTTTTATTAGTATTTTAATGTTTTATTTTACAGGTCCAGTTTGCAGTCGCGAGGCAAGTCGGCTACAGCGGGATTACAAGACTAAAAGATTGGACAAGAACGGCTGATGATCGTGCCAGTGGACTGCAGTCAGCTTATGATGATTGACGGCCTCGGTAGTCCAGCGGTTTAGCATTTACTTTAAATTCCTCGATGTTGCAAACATTTGTATTCATGATTTTAAGTCTTGCCACAGGTAACACTATATAACGGAAAGCTGTCTCATCACAAGAAGAATGAGCAAGAAACTTGTGTGTTGCCCTATTAAATAATCCTTGTAAGTTCACATTTTACAAGTCGAAACGTGAGAATACAAACTACCAACCAGCACTAATTTATTATGGTCAAATATACACAATAAGATTCAATCAGTCTTAATTTATATAGACTATTATAGACTATAAATGAAGAGTAATCGTCTATCATGGTATGGACATGTAATGCGTAGGAACGAGGATAATATTTTAAGAAAGATGTTACAAATGAATGTGGATGGTTATAAGGGCAGAGGAAGGCCAAAAAAGAGATGGATGGACTGTGTGAAAGATGATATGGTAAGAAAGGAAGTAAATAACGCGATGACTGCGAACAGGGATGAATGGAAGCGAAAAACATATTATGCCGACCCCAAATAAATGGGATAAGGATGAAGCAGATGATGATGATGATGATAGACTATAAATTTCGGGCACAGCTAGCAAAAAAGAAATAGATAGAAGAAATAGGTAAGTACCTTATTTTCTTTAAGCAAGTCCTTCAGCTGCTGGAAGGTCATTCTGTTCCAAATGTATTTCACGTCCCGCACCATAAAGTCTTCCACGCATATGTCGTACATACCTGTACAAATATTTGGTTATATCATTACATAGTATAAAACAAAGTCGCTGTCGCTGTCTGTCCGTCCCAATCTATGCTTAAATCTTTAAAACTACGCAACGGATGTTGAAGCGGTTTTTTTAATAGATAGAGTGATTCTAGAGGAAGGTTTATATACATAATACATGTACGCCCTGGCGAAGTCGGGTGTACATGGTACCACATACCATCGGGGTCATAGGACGACACGACGTCCCTGGTGCTGTACACCACAGGGGCGACTTTCCATCAGATGGGCTGGTCGTTTGCCATTCTAGTGTCCCTTTTACCATCGAACCGCTCACCATCGACAGGGAATTCATCCCCACACGCTGGAAGCCTGGTCTCTCGGACAGTGCGGTTTCAGAGGAGCTTCCTCCCGCGTACACTTATATTGTGGAATGAACTACCTGCCGAGGTTTTCTCACGAGACTACAGCTAGGGGTTATTCAAGAAGGGTATTAAGGTTTCTTAAGGGTAAAGCGCTCGTAACACCCCTAGTGTTTTAGGCGTCCATTGACATTTTGACGGCCTCGGTTGTCTAGCGGCTTAGCATACCGCCTTACATCCATAGTCGCGGGTTCGATTCCTCGCACGGCCCAAACTTTTGTATTAATGAGTATGATTGTTTGTATCGGTCTGGTTATTTTCTATGTATGAAAAAAATATATCTATGTATTTGTATCAGTTATCTAGTACCCATAACATTAGCTTTAGCTGGCTTGGGTCTAGATGAGCTTTGTGAATTGCACTGAGATTTTTATTATTATTATAGACCACGGTAACCGTTTACCATCAGATAGGCCGTATGCTTGTTTGCCACTTACGTAGTATAAAAAAAAAACCGATACCGACCATTATAATAAAGTAAACATTGTAACGTCTTATTCTGTTCACCGAGATGATTTATTAATTAACAATAATGAATTAATAATTTAAGTGGATAACCATCTGTACAAACAGTTTTTTTAGAGTTTTATATATTGACCATATATGTCATATGACGAGGTGGCCGAGAGGTTAAGGCGTTGGACTGCTAATCCAATGTGCTCTGCACGCGTGGGTTCGAATCCCATCCTCGTCGATATGTTTTGTATCAATTAGCAATATATAATAAATGTTAAATAAATTATGTACATCTATACATATAAATAAAATTGGAGTGTCTGTTTATAGTATTGAAATAACAGTTTTTTACTACATGCATATGAATATAGGTACATACACCAAAATAACATTTTTTACAATTTTTGTCTGTCTGTTTGTTCCGGCTAATCTCTGAAATGTCTGGACCGATTTTGACGGGACTTTTATTGACTGTTAGCTAATGTAATAAAGAGTAACTTAAGTTACTTTTAATTTAGAAAAATTCTCTAATTAACTTTTTAAATTCCACGCGGACGAAGTCGCGAGTACAGGTAGTAAAAAATGAATTTTATTTCTGTTAATTAAATTGGCTGGTGTGATACAAGACGAGGTGGCCGAGAGGTTAAGGCGTTGGACTGCTAATCCAATGTGCTCTGCACGCGTGGGTTCGAATCCCATCCTCGTCGGTATGTTTTGGTCATTTTAAGGTAATTAGGCCGTATTTTGTGTGAGAAGGTTCTGTATCAATCAGGTCGTAGGATTGATATAGAAACATTCATATTTCAAAAAATATCAAATATAACAGAATATAATTAATAAACCTGGCCAATTAACACAGCGTCATCTGGTTCTACGGTAAGCAGAGCTTTTGTTATAGATCAGTCGTCTATGATATAAATACTTAGAATTTACTAATATTATAAACGCGAAAAACGCGAGTAGACGCAGCGTGGGAAGGCCTCCAGCAAGGTGGACCGACGATCTGGTCAAGATCGCTGGAAGGCATTGGATGCAAGCAGCGCAGGACCGATCGTCGTGGAGATCTTTGGGGGAGGCCTATGTCCAGCAGTGGACGTCTTCCGGGCTGCGATGATGATGATGATGATAAACGCGAAAGTTTGTGCGTATGGATGGATTTTTGTTACTCTTTCACGCAAAAACTACTCAACGGATTTTGATAAAACTTTACAGTAACATAGCTTATAAATCAGAATAATATAAAAGCTATAATTTAAAAACATTTTATGTAAATTGGGCGAAATCTAAATATATATAACTCAAAGGTGACTGACATAGTGATCTATCAACGCACAGCTTAAACCATAATTGAAATTTGGCATGCAGGTAGATGTTACGACGTAGGCATCCGCTAAGATAGGATTTTGATTAATTCTACCCCCAAGGGGATAAATTAAAGGCAAAGCTAGTATAATGATAAATGTCAAGGAAATGTGTCGCAGACGACGTTGGGCGGTTTAGCTAGTATAATATAAGTGTGTTTGTTTGTTTGACTTATTAACAACTTCACTAATATATAAAAATTGGCATGTAAACAGCGTTTAGGACTGGAGAAGGTCATACGTTACTTTGAATCACGATCGGTAAGTTTTCTTTATGTCACGATGTGGCAATCAAGTATTTACGGCTTCGATGGTATAGCGGTTGAACATACCGCCTTAGAACCGATGGTCGCGGGTTCGATTCCTCGCACGGTACAAATAATTGAATTCATGAGTATGATTGTTTGTATCTGGGTGTTTTCTATGTATATTATGTATGTATTTATAAAAAAATGTATGTATGTATTTATATCAGTTGTCTAGTATCTATAACAGAATCTCTGCTTGGCTTGGAGCTGAATGGTATTGTTCTGTATATGTCTCAGGACAATACCATTTAGTTTCAAGCCGAGCCGAGATTCTGTATCAATATTATATATATCTGATGTCAATATTATTAAAATTTACCCCATTTAGATATGTAAAAAAACAATTTTCTACACTATATGCCATAGAGAAATTCTACAAACTTTTAAGTAGTAAACGCTTTACAAAATCATAGTATTTTAAATTCCTGTACCATAATCTATGTTTTACAAAACATACCGATGAGGATGGTAATTGAGAAAGTTTTACTAAATATTACAAAAAATATGGCAAAAATTCCTCGAACATGTTTCCGATACGCGCAAAGATATTCGAAGAATTTAATTAAATATTTAAATTATATTATTAATTGATACGAAATATATCGACGAGGATGGGATTCGAACCCACGCGTGCAGAGCACATTGGATTAGCAGTCCAACGCCTTAACCTCTCGGCCACCTCGTCTTGTATCACATGAGCCAATTTATATACAGAAAATAATTCATATTTTATATAAATATATATTACTAATTGATACAAAACATATCGACGAGGATGGGATTCGAACCCACGCGTGCAGAGCACATTGGATTAGCAGTCCAACGCCTTAACCTCTCGGCCACCTCGTCTTGTATCACACCAGCCAATTTAATTATAGAAATAAAATTCTTATATGATTGCAATATATGTAGTTTATGGTATAATCTATGTCTAAGATATAATCATATAGTATAAATCTAGTCTATGTTTGTAACATACTCTGTGCAGTTGAGAGAGTCTGTATTGTTAAAAATGGCGGGAACGTCCTAATAACATGTGAAACGCAAATTAGCTTTTCATTTAAATTAATATTTAAATACAGTACAATTATACATATACAACCATGAAGTTTTAAGTAAATAATAGCAGTCCATTGTAGACAGATAGAATATACTTTATTTGTAACACGCAGTAAAGAAAAGGCATAAACAATATATTAACGGACATGTATAGTTACAATAAGGCGGCCTTATTGCTGAAAGCAATCAAGCAAATTGTAGTGTTCTTGTGCAGTCAAAAACCGTATGGAGGGAAATTGCGAGGAGCTGTCAAGGTGGACAACGAAGAGATACCGTCATATAAGTCACGACCACACTGTTAAAACGGACCGACATGTAAAAAAAATCCATCCCCCAAGTATGGTATTACCTCTTAAGTAAGAATAAATAAATTTACAGATATATTTATCTATCAACTCAAAATAACTTTAACGTTCGGAGTAATTTCGAGATGAGAAGAACTGACAAGAAACTCAGCTCGTATTTTTTTCAAATAAATGTTGTACATGTTTACAATAATACAGATTCATTTTTAAATTTAAATTTGGGAGAATAGAGCGACTATCAGCATATGCTATTGCAGTTTTGTCAAAAGCAAACAGTTTTTTTTTTATGGATGATAATGGAATGGTGCACCCGCCTGCGCTAACGATTTACGCTGGCGGGGCACCAGTGTAGGATGAAAAGATGAGCATGAGGTCAGGTCAGTTAGCCCATCGTGACAAATTCACCAAGAATTTATCACAATGGTTTCCAGGGGGAACCACGTGGAGGTCAACCTGACATGGTACATTGCTAGCAATAAGATCATAAGTTCACATTACCAACAATCCCCTTTTCCCCCAAAGCAAACAGTGTAATCAGTTTTCGTAACCCGAAGAGACCAGTTCCGTTTTTAGAAACCCGCCCCAAGAGGCTGTAACTCAGTTACCCGGGGGTTGTTACCGCCGGAGTCGATGCCGGGCAAAGGGGTTTAACCTGAGAGCCCAACCTTCACCCTAGGTGAGCAGAAGAGTAGTGTAGTGTAGCTAATTACCGCATTTCGATGACCCTATACGACTATTTATACGCAGCACTTGAATAAATATACCTTATTAAAATGCATGTTTGAGTGTCGTGGAAATGTGGCTAAATTCAAATTCAACTTCAAAATATATTTATTCATGTAGGTCTATTACAGACTCTTATGATATGTCAAATCTACCGTCAGTTCGGAATGATTTCTAGGTGAGAAGAACTGACAAGAAACTCAGCTCGTATTCTTTTCAAATAAATGTTGTATATTTTTACAATAATACAGATTCATTTTTAAATTCAAATGTGGGAGAATAGGGTGACCATAGCATGTACTATTGCAACTTTGCCAAAACGAGATAGTCCTCAGTCTAAATATATATAACGCAAAGGATATATATGAAATCGTGATCTATCAACGCATAGCCCAAACCACTATCGGGACGTATCGGGCTGAAAATTGGCATGCAGGTAGGTGTTATGACGTAGATCCATCCATGCATCCGCTAAGAAAGAATTTTGATTAATTCTACTGCCAAGGGCATAATATAGGGGATGAAAGTTTGTATGAAACTGTTAATTTTAAACCTATCGTGCTGAGTCTTTGCATGCATAAAGCTACTATCCCCTAAGAAAGGATGCCATAGATTTCCGAACGAGCGGTAGATTAAAAAAAATGTAATGACTATTCAAAAGTGCTTCAATGTAAGTTTATTTGAATAAATGATTTTCTATTCTATTCTATTCTATTCTATTCTAAGGGGATAAATTAACGCGAGCGAAGCCGCGGGCAAAAGCTAGTAATAAATAAATGTTGTACATGTTTATAATAGTTTTTCAAGAAGGGTATATTAAGGTTTCTTAAGGGTCGGCAACGCGCAAGTGATACCCCGGGTGTTTCAGCCGCTCATAGGTTACGGTAACCATTTACCATCAGATAGGCCGTATGCTTGATTGTCACCATCGTAGTATAAAAAAATATAGTACACAGTCATTAAAATTCAAATTTGGGAGAACAGAATAAAATACTGTATTATACATTAGTTTGAGAGTCACGATCTGTATTAAACTGTACATACTTAACATACTGTCTTCTGTTACTATTTACTTTAAATTTCACGGTTTTAAATATATAATATGAATTTTATTTTTGTATATAAATTGGCAATTATGATATAAGACGAGGTGGCCGAGAGGTTAAGGCGTTGGACTGCTAATCCAATGTGCTCTGCACGCGTGGGTTCGAATCCCATCCTCGTCGGTATGTTTTGTATCAATTAGTAATATATATTTATATAAAATATGAATTATCTTCTGTATATAAATTGGCTGGTGTGATACAAGACGAGGTGGCCGAGAGGTTAAGGCGTTGGACTGCTAATCCAATGTGCTCTGCACGCGTGGGTTCGAATCCCATTCTCGTCGGTATTATTTTGATATTATTGGAAAACTATGTGGAATTTATATTGATCCAATAATTTCTTGTCAATAGATAATAGAAATAATACCCCTGGACAATTCACACAACGTCATCTAGTCTCAAGGTAAGGAAAGCTTGTGTTATGGGTACAACTGATAGAAATACTTACATATATTTTTAGATATATACATAATATAAATATAAAATACCCAGATCAATACAAACAATTATATTTAAAAATGTTTGCACCGTGCGAGGATCAAACCCGCTACAAATAGAAGTAAAACAGTGTGCTACCGCTAGATCACCGAGGCCGTCAAAGCCGTTTATAAAAGAAATGTGTATCAAATCAAAACAATATTATAATATTTTTATTATGTAGATCTATTACTGACTCTAATGATATGTTAAATCTACCGTCAGTTCGGAATGATTTCGAGCAAAGAAGAACTAACAAACTCAGCTCTTATTCTTTTCAAATGAGCTTGTCCATGTTTACAAATGTACCGTTTTTTTTAAAATTCAAATTTCGGAGAATAGGGTACCCGAACATAACATATATTATTGCAATTTTGTCAAAGGTCTAATCAGTGGTCGTATCCCGAACAGATCAGACCCCATGAGCCCCGTTCACGAGTATGATGGACTATATTGAGTATAAATGGAATCTTACGACTGGCGGAGGACAGCAGGTCAGGTAGGTAGGGCAGCTTTTTGATGAGTATGATGCTGTCGAAGCATGAAGGTTGGAGCAGGGCAGCCACAGCATTGGCAGCAAGTACGGCCGCCATTATTGGTAGCAAGTGAGTCACCTGGGTAGAAAAAACACATTATATTAACTATATTAATATTACAAAATAACTGTATCCGCAAAATCCCGTCAATCGGTCCAACCATTTCAGAGATTAGCCGGAACAGACAGACAAAAGGGTAAAAATTGTTATTGTGATGCATGTACCGTATTTATTTTAATATGCATGAAACGGTTACTTCAATATTACAAACAGACAGTCCAATTTTATTTATATGTATAGATATTAATATTACAAAAGACGGCTCGGTGGTCTAACGGTTTAGTACACCGCTTTACTTCCGATAGCCGCGGGTTCGATTCTAGTTCCCGTAACACAAGCTCTGCTTAGCTTGGGACTAGATGGCATTGTGTGAATTATCCAGGGTTATTATTATTACGACCATCCTAACATGATGTTATTGGGATTGGGTAACGGTGTGTGAATTCTCCTGGGTTATTATGATTATCTTTAGATAGTGTAAGTAATCCACCTCACCTGTCCACACATCTCGCTGACTATGACGATTGTGGACACGGTGTGAGTGACTGCACCCGTGAACGCGGCCGCGCCCACTACTGCGTACCCACCTGCGAACAACAACCTTACATCATCATCACCATCATTATTATCTTCATCATCATCATCTGCTTCTTCCTTATCCTATTCATTTGGGGTCTGCGTAATTTTTATCTTCCATTCATCCCTGTTCTCAGTCATCTCGTTAGTTACACTCACAGCATCTCTTTTGCCCAAATGTTTCTGTTAACTGATATGTAGTTTAAGAGAGGCTCATTTTTTTCTTTTAAGTATACAGTGAACAAATTCAAATGTATGTCTGGGAATCTATCTGGGAATAAATTAATATATTATTATACAGGATGTCCCATAAGTACTTTAAAATTTCAATTTCGAATATTTACTTTTTTATTTATTTATATACACACTATCATCACATGCATATGCCCAATTCAACAGAGCATCCAATATTACAACACCGGTTCGGTATCATCTTATATATAAAACTCTCGTCTTACATATAACATTCTTGTGTCACAGTTTTCGTTCCCATACTCCTCCGAAACGGCTTGACCGATTCTCATGAAATTTTGTGAGCGTATTGAGTCTGAGAATCGGACAACATATATTTTTCATCCCCTTAAATGTTAGGGGTAGTCCACCCCTAAATTTTTTTTTTATTTTAAGGCAAAACGTTTGCCGGTATAGCTAGTTGCATATAAATACAATGCGGTCCTTATGAATTCACACAGAAATACACACAAACAAATAAATCCGTTCTCTCTGCTACTTGATTGAGAGTGGTCAGTGAGTGCGTCAGTAGTGCTTTCTTTAACAAATCAGTACTACCACCTGCTGGGGCCTTCTTCGGCGCCCTATATCGAATAAAATACAAATGACTCGCAGGAATGGCGCGTGATACGAGGGGAGCGCCAACGGAATTCAGTTGCCGTGGAGTGTTTCAAAAGACTTATAGGACATTCTGTATTATTTTAACCTCATGGAGGCACTCACCGGGCAATATTTTCTGTATGTGACCTCCGTACGCGACCCCTAGAGGGCAGAAGTAGTGCATGACCTCTCCGGTAAATCTACCTAGTGACGCGCCCATCTTGAACGCCGGTACGAAGATACCAGCAGGCACTGGCAGGGTACAAGATACCATGCTCAGGAAGTACTGTAAACAGTTATGTTACAAATCTGTTAAACATACAAAAACAAGTTAAAAAATATTTAAAACTAAATATTTTTTCAGTAAAATCAAAATATATCGACGAGGATGGGATTCGAACCCACGCGTGCAGAGCACATTGGATTAGCAGTCCAACGCCTTAACCTCTCGGCCACCTCGTCTTGTATCACATGAGCCAATTTAATTAACAGAAATATAATTCATATTTATATGTATATATACATTGGTAATTGAAACAAAACATACCGACGAGGATGGGATTCGAACCCACGCGTGCAGAGCACATTGGATTAGCAGTCCAACGCCTTAACCTCTCGGCCACCTCGTCTTGTATCATACCAGCCAATTTAAATAACAGAAATATAATTCATATTTATATGTATATATACATTGGTAATTGAAACAAAACATACCGACGAGGATGGGATTCGAACCCACGCGTGCAGAGCACATTGGATTAGCAGTCCAACGCCTTAACCTCTCGGCCACCTCGTCTTGTATCATACCAGCCAATTTAATTAACAGAAATATAATTCATATTTATATGTATATATACATTGGTAATTGAAACAAAACATACCGACGAGGATGGGATTCGAACCCACGCGTGCAGAGCACATTGGATTAGCAGTCCAACGCCTTAACCTCTCGGCCACCTCGTCTTGTATCATACCAGCCAATTTAATTATCAGAAATAAAATTTATATTTTAAACATAAAACCGTAAAATTTAAAGTAAATAGCAACACAATATGTTCAAAATTTAATTTGGTTTTTAACGTATTATAATTGCAGCAGATTGTGGCTTTATTCAGATCGTGCCTACATTAGTAATATAACGCTGATTAAATACCAAAGGGCCACAACCCAAAAAAAAACTGAAACATTTTTTTTATAATTTCAGTTCTTTGCGTTGTCGCCCTTTAGCATTTAATCAGCGATATGTCCTGACAATGTAATGGGAATCTTTACGGACTACTCTAATGCTGTTGGCCGCAGCTGGCCTTTACAGCTTCACCGGACATTAGGAGAGTGCAGATGGCACTCCAAACCCGCGGAAGGACTTATGGAGCGGCTGAAGGCCAGCTCCTGCCTGACGGATACGATTTTAGTCTGCGGGCACCACTAGGGGTTCGAACCTCGGCTCAGGCCGTCGTAATTTCGATCCCCGTGAATTGGAAGGGGGATCGATTAGAGGAGCAAAATAAAAAAAAAATATGCCTTATAACTATTTTACATTTAGCTATGGTTGAAATGATGATTGAATTTAAGATGATGCCTGTCATCACGATATCATTGGAGTTACAATCTTGTAAAAATTTGTGGCATCCACCCAGGAATCTTGGCAAGAAACTTTATCAATGGCCATAAAAGAATTATTAGAATTTACTGACACAAAACAAGTAATGTATTTATTAGACAGACAGACAGAGTTACTTTCGCATTTATAATATTAGTAAGGAAGTAAGTATGTATGTATATTTTATATATAATGATTATTATGTAGTTATATTGTACATTCAATAACTAACTAATTATAATACCTCGACCAGACACAGTCTAATCACTCCTCTCCATCCTAAGGTTGCCTGGAAGAAATATTTAGCAATAAGGCCGCCCATTGTTACTTCTACATTATAATTATGTTGTTTTTCTTTTTATATTTGATCTACATATTAATTTATGTAACTGTTATATCTTCCTGTGAGAGGAACAATAAAGTGTTTTCATTTAATTTAATTTCATATATTTCTGTAAAATTAATTGTAAAATTCATACAAATACTACTACTGACTAAAGAAGTATTTTCTTTTTAAAGTTTCTTGAAAAGTCAGTATCGAATTACCTAATTAAACTGGTGTGGTACAAGACGAGGTGGCCGAGAGGTTAAGGCGTTGGACTGCTAATCCAATGTGCTCTGGACGCGTGGGTTCGAATCCCATCCTCGTCGATATGTTTTGTATAAATTAGTAACATATATTTATATAAAATATGAATTATCTTCTGTATATAAATTGGCTCATGTGATACAAGACGAGGTGGCCGAGAGGTTAAGGCGTTGGACTGCTAATCCAATGTGCTCTGCACGCGTGGGTTCGAATCCCATCCTCGTCGGTATATTTTGTTTCAATTAATAATATAATTTAAATAATTAATTAAATTCTTCGAATATATATGCGCGTATCGGAAAGAATTTCGAAGAATTATTGCCATATTTTTTGTAATATTTAGTAAAACTTTCTGAATTACATTTTTATTAATGGATGAATATGGCATGATCCACCCGCCTGATGACCATTTACGCTGGCATCAGTGGAGGATGATAGGATAAGCATGAGGTCAGGTCATTTGGGCTATTGTGACAAATTCGCCAAGAATTTTCCAGAGTACAGCGCTCTGGAGGTCAACCTGATATGATACATTGCTATGGATCCTATGGGATCATTGTACTCATTACTGACAATCCCTTTTCCCATTATGAATTAAATTTATAGTACCATACTTTGAATGAGAATTTGATTAAGAAAATACCTTAAAACATCATAATTGCCTTGCCTTTATCCCATTATTTGGGGTCGGCGCAGTATGTCATTCTCTTCCACTGCTCTCTATCGGTCGTCATATCTGATCATACTCCTCTTTTATTCATATCATCTTTCACACAATCTATCCATCTTTTCTTAGGACGTCCCCTCCCTTTACATCCATCCACATTCATATTATACACTTTCCATAACACATGGTCCTCGTTCCTCCGCATAACATGCCCATACCAGCTCAATCTGTTACCTCGCAAGAACCTGGTAAGAAAATACCTTAAAACAAATTATTTAAAATCACAAATCTAATGCTGTTGGCTGCAGTTGGCAGCTGTCAGTTTACAGCTTCACCGGACGACACGAGGCGAGTGCAGATGGCACTCCAAACCCGCGGAAGGACTTATGGAGCGGGTGAAGGCCATCTCCCGACGGATACGACTTTCGTCTGAGGACACCCCTAGGGGTTCCAACCTTGACTCAGGCCGTCATAATTTTGATCTTCGTTTGAATTGGACGGGGGGTCGATTGGAGGCCCCGGTGCGATCGCCCGGGCGTCAGAAACAAAGCTAATAGTGTTTGCAGACTGAGAACGGTTTGTTTATCCAAGTGATAATTTACTAATGGAGTTAATATACTGTGAAATTGTTAATAATTCACTTGTGTAGATAATTAAATTGTAATAAGGTCATGAACATACAATACTAGTACTTTTACGTGTGACTTTGTTCCCATGAGCGTCAAATATTGATTAATTGGGATAAATCAAATCAAAAATAGTTTATTCATGTAGGATATTTTACCCGTTTATGAACAATTTTAATATACAGATTCAATTGAGAAGAACGGACAAGAAAATCAACTGTATTATTATCACTTTAAAATTCAAATCATATATGCAGTTACTAATATTTTACATTAGATGTTACGGTCTTGATAGTACATATTATCTTATATATAAAATACTCGTGTCACAATATTAGTTAACAAACTCCTCCGAAATGGCTTGACCGATTTTTATGAAATTTTATATGCATATTCAGTAGGTCTGACAATCGGTTACTATCTATTTTTCATGTCCCTGAGTGATAAGGGTTGTCCACCCCTAACATATTTTATTTTTTATTTTTGGTTATATGTGGTTAGTAATGTGGACTCTCGACCCCATTGCTTGCAATGTACCATGTCAGGTTGACCTCCACGCGGTTCCCCCTGGAAACCGTCGTGATAAATTCATCTGGAATTTATCACGATGGTTTCCAGGCTGACTGACCTGACCTCATGCCCATCTTATCATCCTCCACTGGTGCTCCACCAGCGTATACCATATAAAAAAAAACTTAACTGTATACTTAACATTACGCACCTGTTACTATTTACTTTAAATTTCACGGAATTTAAATACAATGATATGAATTTTATTTCTGTTATTTAAATTGGCTGGTGTGATACAAGACGAGGTGGCCGAGAGGTTAAGGCGTTGGACTGCTAATCCAATGTGCTCTGCACGCGTGGGTTCGAATCCCATCCTCGTCGGTATGTTTTGTATCAATTAATAATATAATTTAACTAATTAATTAAATTCTTCGAATACCTTTCAAGACACGGAAAGATATTCGAGGAATTTTATTATACACTGCGTTTGTGAGCACTAATCTCAGAAACTGCTTAACCGATATGGATGCGGTTTTCACCAATTTATTACGGTAAGTTTAATCTCAAACTTTGTTCTTATTTTATTGCAATCATTTGACAAGCAAAAAAACTTATAAGTTACAAATGTGAAAACTCCTCAAATCAAAGACCCTATTAGACAGAACACCGACATGGCATATGGAACCATATGCCAAGAATAAATAAATAAAAAAAGAATAAATACATAAAATAAATAAAATAAAATATAAAATGACATACATCTAAATACATTACAATGGCCCACCATGCCTGAATGCAAGTGGGGCAGAATAGTGCGGTTCTGCCACAAACACTGCTTTATCGAGTAGAAACGAATCATCTTCCAGGCGCTTTTTTTTTAATTAAGGGGTTTGAGGTTCTTGCTAAGTTCTTAATCAAATTCAAATTCAAATTCAAAATATCTTTATTCTTGTAGATCTATTACAGACTCTTATGATATGTCAAATCTACCGTCAGTTCGGAATGATTTCGAGATGAGAAGAACTGACAAGAAACTTAGGTCGCATTTTTTTTAAATAAATGTTGTACATATTTACAAAAATACAGATTCATTTAAATTCAAATTTGGAAGAATAGAGTGACCACCAGTATAAGCACCAGTATGACGAATGAGCCAGCCATCACTGCACTCAACCATATTAGAGGGAGCACATCGACCCGGCCCACCACGCCGCCCCAAGTTTGAACTTTATAGTGAGCATGACTGTTTCAAGTTACTCCACTACGTCATTTATACTATTTAGACCTGTAGCACTGCGACCTGAATAGTTCTATTGTGCTCGCCTCTTTTTTAGAGTCCGCCTAGGCCCGCCAAGGACCAGAATTAAAGTGTATTAGCGATGGTTTTTATCTTCTCAGGATAGAGTGCAAATTTTCCAAAGGAGGATATTTCGTTTATCCATGAGTGGGCTACAACTACAAAGCATGTGTAGGGTTTCCTCTTCAATTTGGCAAAATCTCCATCTTTGTTAAGCACAGGCACTCCTTAATACTAATAAGAAAACAAATGTACTCACAATAGAGAAAAAGTAGATGATGAGGCACCCAAAGTAGTTAACTTCAGGAGTCTGCCAGTGCGACACGATGGCCGCTTGTTGCGCGGTCAGCTCGTCGCCCCACGTGAAGTTCGCGAACAGCGACAGCACCTGTCATCATCACACCAACATCATTAGCACCATCACCACCATCATTATCACCATCACCACCATCATTATCACCATCACCACCATCATTATCATCCATAATGTTATCACTATACCAGCTGACCAGGGAAACTTTATCTGCGACATGTTTTCCCCTATTTTGTAACATTTTTCATTGATGACCCAGTCCTATTGGTCGTTGAAGTTATATATAAATGTATTTTTGGCGCCTGAAATGTATTTTTTCTTTTAAATCTGTTTAGGATTTTTGTATACAAAATATGACGACGAAATGAAATGAAATTTTATTGCATAAAATGTAGTACATTGGATGTGGTATTTTGAATATTATTATATTGTTCGCACATTTAGTAATGTCTGACATGCAACAGACAATTGTCAATTAAAATATTGTCATTATACATTACTCATTATTACATACATATATTATTATAATTTATTTATTTATTAATATTAGTCACTTTTTCACCATTTGTGAAAGATATTTGTTTATATTATAAAAGCAGTTAGATAACAACCAATTATACAATTCTTTTTTTAATTTGCTTTTATTTAATTGTTTTAACTCCTTTGGCAACTTGTTAAATATTGTTATGGCCATTGGATAACAATTAGAGCTTACGATAATCCCATCGTACCTAAATTAAATAACAAAAATACAGCTTAAATTATTATGATACCAGCCAGAACAATACGTAGGCTGCATCTGAAGCTGACTCTATCAATATTTATTTATTTATTTAATTTAAACGACACAATATAATATATAGTACACTACATTTGGCGGACCTAACAGCATGCGGCATTTTCTACCAGGCAACCATAAGTGGTGCAGAGAATAATTGTTGGCGGTGCAAAATGATAAACGTAAACAAAATGCAACAAAATATAAACAGAACAAAAATATATATACAATATATATATATATATATATTAAGAGATACAATAATATATAACATAAATATATACAATATTCTAAGCAATGCACCCAAGTCTATTTAACTTGAACGCAACGCGAGTACCTTTCTATCATAGAGAGTGTATTAAGTAATTGGGTACCTGTCCTTGATTGCCAAGGTCTGCAGCCATGTACTTCCCGATGCCTGGTGGAAACAGGATGGACATCACTGCCAACGTCATGAAACCAGGGTAGATGAACCGGCTGAGAAATTTTTTTTTATTATTATTTGAACCAGTGTACTAAAGATGAGGTAAGCTTAGCTTAGTTTAGACCGCATCATCACTTAACATTAGGTGAGATTGCGTACAAACGCGGTCAAATTTATAAATTAAAAAAAGCTAGATACCTAATTAAATCAAAACCGGTTTAGTTTTTTTCTTAAAATTCTAAAATAATCTGTATATTTTTTTCTTAATTTGTCAAAGACTAGATTAATCTTAATATAATAATATTATAAATGCGAAAGTTTGTAAGTATGGATGTTTGTTACTCTTTCACGCAAAAACAGGCTATATATTGAAATTTAACGCGGGTGAAACCGGGGGCACGCCTAGTATATTTATGTATTATTGAAAAATTATATAAAAATAAAGTTACTCACTTCTTCTGCAGGAAGTTGCTTAGGGTCTTGGTATTCCTCATGAACAGCACGTACTGGCGATGTAACCACACCCAGATGGCAGCCATGAACCCGCACACTATACTGGAAATATTACAACACATCATTGTCCCTTACGATCGATCCCCCGTCCAATTCAAACGGGGATCGAAATTACGACGGCCTGTGCCGAGGTTCGAACCCCTAGCGATGCCCTCAGACTAATGTCTCAAACGGGGATCGAAATTAAGATGGCCTGTGGCGAGGTTCGAACTCCTAGCCGTGCCTTCAGACTCAAGTCTCAATCGGGGATCGAAAGACGGCCCGTGCCGAGGTTCGAACCCCTAGCGGTGCCTTCAGACTCAAGTCTCAAACGGGGATCGAAAGACGGCCTGTGCCGAGGTTCGAACCCCTAGCGGTGCCCTCAGACTAATGTCTCAAACGGGGATCGAAATTACGACGGCCTGTGCCTAGGTTCGAACCCCTAGCGGTGCTTTCAGACTCAAGTCTCAAACGGGGATCGAAAGACGGCCTGTACCGAGGTTCGAACCCCTAGCGGTGCCCTCAGACTAATGTCTCAAACGAGGATCGAAATTAAGACGGCCTGTGCCGAGGTTCGAACCCCTAGCGGTGCCCTCAGACTAATGTCTCAAACGGAGATCGAAATTACGACAGCGTGTGCCGAGGTTCGAACCCCTAGTGGTGCCCTCAGAGTAAAGTCGTATCCGTCAGGCGAGAGTTGGCCTTCCGCCGCTCCATAAGCCCTTCTTTTGGTTTGGAGTGCCATCTGCACTCGTCCTCTATCGAAGCTGTAAAGACCAGCTGCGAAAATGTCCACAAGTAAAATTCATTTCTACCTATACTGAGCCCCTGTACCTTCAGTAATACACTGCTTTATTCCGATTGTCATGGGATCCATTCCTCGCACGGTGCAAATATTTGTATTCATGAGTATGATTGTTTGTATCGGTCTGGGTGTTTTCTATGTATATTATGTAGATATTTAAAAAATTTATGTCACTTGTCTAGTACTCCCACAAGCTCTGCTTGCCGTGGGACTAGATGGCGCTGTGTTAATTGTCCAGGGTTATTTATTTAATAAAAAAAAATATAATCAAGTTATTACTTACCCTAGGAGGACGAATACTGCAAACTCTTGGGGGTCGAAGGGGAAGTCTTGGGGCAAACTGGTGGGGAACAATGGCTTAACAGTGGGGGTAGCACCTGACCATACTGACAGTAAACGGAACATCTGCAAAATATTTAATTCCACATTAGAAGGTAGTAAGAAATATATGAAACCGGCCGGGAAAAGGTGGCTATAACGATGGTCTCGTGTTTGATTCCTCGCATAGCACAAACATTTGTATTCATGAGTATGATTGTTTGTATGTTTGTCTGTGTCGTTGTTGGTGTCTGGCTGTTTTCTATGTATATTGTATTTACAAAAAATGAATTTTATATAAATACTGGCTAACCCCGCGAACTCCTTTCCGCTTCAAAATTAAATATGTAAAGGTTTTTTGAAGTTTAGTTACTATATACAATAAATTTTTGAACGCACCCTGTTTGACAGGTATCAGCAGTATGTATGCGAAAATAAAAGTGTTGTTTTTACTATTTTACATGCAATTTCTTAATATTTTATCACTGTTTAAATCTTCAATGGACTTCCACGAATATTTCAAGACTAAAATCAGCCAAATCGGTTCAGCCATTCTCGAGTCTTAGCGAGACTAACGAACAGCAATTTATTTTTATATATATAGTTTTAGAAAAGAGCAACACACAAGTTTCTTGCTCATTCTTCTTGTGATGAATCTGCATTCCGAATGAGTGGTAGAATCAAAATATGACTATTCAAAAGTGCTTGTAATGAGTTTATTTGAATAAAGATTATTTCTATTTCTATTTCTATTTCTATTTGTATCAGTTGTTTAGTACCCATAATACAAGCTCTGTGTAGCTTGGGACTAGATGGCGCTGTGTGATTTTTCCAGGGCAATTATAATCATCAAATGAAAACTCTGTAATGTTCCTTTCACATATATACAATTACATAAACATAATTACTGTAGTGAATCGGTGGACTGTATGGGTGTCTAAATGATGAAAACCTGTACTTTATGATATAACTAGCATTTGCCCGCGGTTTCGCTCGCGTTAATTTATCCCCTTAGGGGTGTAATTTATCAAAATCCTTTCTTAGGGGATGCCTCCATCATAGTAGCTTTATGCATGCAAAGTCTCAGCCCGATCGGTTTAAAATTGATAAAGTTTCATACAAACTTTCATCCCCTATTTTATCCCCTTGGCGGAAGAATTAATCAAAATCCTTTCTTAGCGGATGCCTACGTCATAACATCTACCTGCATGCTAAATTTCAGCCCGATCCGTCCAGTGGTTTGGGCTGTGCGTTGATAGATCACTATGTCAGTCACCTTTGAGTTATATATATTTAGATATATTGAAATACAGTTGCGAACTATCTACGAGACCATTAAAGAATAATTGAAATATATAAAAAAAATGTCATATAAAAAGAACGGTTCTAAAAATATAAAAATTTAACAATAATAATGATTACAATAAGCAAGACATGGAGGTAACAACGGGCGGCCTTATCGCAAAATAGCGATCTCTTCCACGACCTTCCGGTGAAAATATTATATTCCTTTCCATCCATAGAATAACGGTACAAAACGTAACGCTATGCACCTCTGGTTCCTTCATTTATATTAATAGTATAAACGCAAAAATGATTGTCTATTTGTTGTCACTTCACAACTAAATGTCTGTACAGATCTCAATGAAATTCCGTCAGAAGATAGGTTGCATTACCAGTTAGGTACAGAGGTTATATATGGTCTAAAAAAGTTCATACTTACAATAGCACTGCAGCATGCCGCGAAGAATCCACGCCAGTAATTTCGTACCGCGAAATATGTCGTAGTTACTTCGATTGAAAACAAAACGCCTGGAAAAATATTAAACGCAATTAATAACTTGTGAATAAATTAGTTTTGAAAATAATTCGGTAATATCTATACTAATACTAGCTGTGACCACGGTTCCACCAGTGTGAATTATATCCTATATTTATAGCCAATATGTTATTCTGATGTATGAAATATATTTATTTATTCTTTTGCACACAAAAATGTATACATGGCGGACTTAATGCCTGATGGCATTCTCTACCAGTCAACCGTCGCGTTGATCAGAGATAATAAGGCGGTGCATATATTACTGTAAAGATTCATCAAAATCAGTAGTTTTTGCGTGAAAGAGTAGCAAACATCCATCCATACTCACAAACTTTATAGTTGACTAGCTCACAAACTTTATTTTTCTAAAATAAAAGTACCCTAAGCTTTTTTTGGTAGGTTTTACCCGGGACTTTTTTTGGCAGGCAGCCAAAAAAAGTCCCATCAAAATCGGTCGAACCATATCAGAGATTAGCCGGAACAAACAGACCGACAGACAAAATTGTAAAAAATGTTATTTTGGTGTATGTACCGTATTTTTATTCATATGCATATAGTAAAAAACTGTTATTTCAATATTACAAACAGACACTCCAATTTTATTTATATGTATAGATAATATTAATAAGATTATGAAGAGGTTGTTCGAGTCAATGTGGTTTTATATCTGCACCACTAGATGGCGCTGTATTATTTCATACATTTTTCTACTACGCGGTGTTAAGTTATTTTTGTTAGAGTATATAGGGATGTAATTTTTATTACGCCGACCTAAGCCAAGGTTCGACCCCCTTGCGATGCCCTCAGACTAAGGTCTCAGACGGGGTTCGAAATTACGACGGCCTGTGGCAAGGTTCGAACCCTTAGCGGTGCTCTCAGACTAAAGTCGTATCCGTCAGGCGGGAGTTGGTCTTCAGCCGCTCCATAATTCCTTGGGTTGGTGCAATCTGCACTCGCCTCCTATCGTCTGGTGAAGCCGTAAAGGCCAGCTGCAGCCAACAGCATCCGGAATGGAAAATTGTGTATCCGCTTGGATGAACATAATATATAGAGCTGTAACTTTCATTTAGTACAAATCGCTCCTGATGTCCTGACCGTCGATTTTATATAGAGGTAAAGTTTCTACGTTTGTTTGTTCGGGGTAATATCCGCTTTTAAAAAGTCTTTCACCGTTATAATACCCCGAATACTATAGGTTATATAACATCACGCTACGACCAATAGGAGCAGTAATAAAAAAAATACAAAATATATCCATTTTGAGAACCTCCGCTGCCAGTAATGCGTGAACGGTTAAAGTTACCCAAAAAATATGTATGACGAATTGTTTTAAGATGAATCTCAAATATTGGGCCCGTGCAAAGTCGCGGCGGGTTGCTAGTAATAGACTAATACGAACAGACGGCGGCGTGGACTTACACTACGTAAAGATTGTCATATATATAGAGAATATAATTGCATTTAATAATGTCTAGTAAGACAAATCCAATTGTGTACTAAGCACTGCCGTGTCTAAACTGTGTTACTCCACCTTACATTTTCCTATTGTCATTTAGTATATAAATATAAGATCAATTATAAGATCAATATTTGTATGTACATATTGTCAGTCTATTACATTGACGACCTCGGTGGTCTAGCGGTCTAGCATACCGCTTTACGACCGATGGTCGCGGGTTCGATTCCTCGCACGGCACAAACATTTGTATTCATGAGTATGATTGTTTGTATCGGTCTGGGTATTTTCTATATATAATATGTATGTATTTACGAAAAAAAAAATATATATCTATGTATTTGTATCAGTTGTCTAGGACCCATAACACAAGCTTTAGCTAGCTTAACTTGGGTCTAGATGGCGCTGTGTGAATTGTCCTGAGATTATTATTATTATATTATTATTATTATTATCATCAGTAATATACATCGTCTCAACGGACAACCTCGTATATATAAATGCTACAGCTGAATGAGAACATACCTCCAACTGGTGCGGCGAAACAGGAGGCCACACCTACTGCGCAGGCGGCTGCCAGCATCTCGCTGGTGCGGGACTCGTTCGTGTAGATCCCTTGGAAGGTGGTCACCAGCTTGGACAGTAGCGCTGCCACCATCGAAGCTATATGTACGGACGGGCCCTGAGAAAGTTAAATATTCGTATATATATATATATACATATATTCAATTCAAGCTCTACTTAGCTTGTGACAAGATGATGCAGTGTGAATTGTCCTGAGTTTTTATAAATGTACTAGTTGTACGCGCGACTTCGTCCGCGTGGAATTTTACAACATTACTATATTTTTCTAAAAGTTTTTTTTTCTAAAATAAAAATAGCCTAAGTTAATCCTTATTACATCAGCTACCTGCTAATAAAAGTCCCGTCAAAATCGATCTAGCTCCGCTATAGAGATTAGCGGGAACAGACAGACAGACAGACAGACAAAAATTATAAAACATGTTATTTTGCTACCGTACCGTATGTACCGTGTTTATATTCACATGCATGTAGTAAAAAACGGTTATTTTAATATTACAAACAGACACTCCAATTCTATTTATATGTATACATAAAATGTTACACGGGATATCTCCGGGACTCTACATTACGATACTGTAGATCTGTAGTACAGGTTTCTATCGAGTTTATAATAACTATTGATTTACTTACTATAACGTGTAAATATAAATTATATTGTAAGAAGTAAGTAATTATATTGTAAGGAGAAGTTTACCACTTACTACATACAATATAATTTATACGTATAATTAGTAAAAATCACGAGATCTTACCACGTTTTATATTTACTTGCTGAGTTCCCGATATTTCGGCAGTGTTTCAACCACCATGATCACGGGTGAACAGATTTTACAGTTTTACAGCAAATAAATATAAAACGTGGTAAGATCCCGTGATGTTTACTAATTATACGTATAAATTATGACCGCGTCAAATTTAAAATAGTATATAATATAATTTATATTTAGAAAAATCAAAGATTATTTTTTATATTGAGATTATTCTTACCTCTTTCCCTAATGGCAGCCCTGACCCAAGCGTGGCTGTGAGCCCCACTATTTTGGATATGAGTGCCCTAAACGTGAGATATTCTTTCAGATGCACTCCCCTCAATATCGTCTTCATTTCTGGAATACCCGACCCTGGAATTTCATATATAAATATATTATTTTTGAATAGAATTGAATAGAAAATCATTTATACACATAAACTTAATTTAAGCATTTTTGAATAGTAATAATTTTTTTTTTAATCTACCGCTTATTCGGAAAGCATTCTCATCACAAGAATAAGCAAGAAACTTGTGTGTTGCTCTTTTAAACAATCCTTGTAAGTTCACATTTTACAATTCGTAACGTGTGAATACAAACTACCAACCAGTACAAATTTATTTAGGCTCAAATATAAAAACACAATAAGATTAAATCAGTCGTAGTGATAAGAGCAGACCAGTCCCTACAAGCAGCACTCGTTTACGAGTATAACGGATGAGCCAGCCATCACTGCACTCGACCATATTTTAGGGAGCCCAATGACTCGGCCCATCACGCCGCCACATGTCTGGACTTTCAGTGAGCATGACTACTGAATTGATAATGATGACTATTGAATCATGTCATTTCACTTTCTTTTAACATTTTTTAACTTAAACCGCGGGTTTGTAGTGCCATCTGCACTCGCCCCCTATCGTCCGGTGAAGCTGTAACGTTGGCCAGCTGCGACCAACAGTATTAGAGTATTCCGAAAAAAAAAAAAAATTGTAAAGTAGCTGACTGTCCTGAGCTGGTTAATGTAATAAATTTACAAGCTTTTGCCCTCGGCTTCGCTCGCGTTAATTTATCCCCTTAGGGGTAGCATCCTTTCTTAGGGGATAGTAGCTTTATGCATGGAAAGTCTCAGCCCGATAGGTTTAAAATTTCAAAAATTTCATACAAACTTCCCCTATTTTATCCCTTTGGGGGTAGAATTAATCAAAATCCTTTCTTAGCGGATGCCTACGTCATAACATCTACCTGCATGCTAAATTTCAGCCCGATCCGTCCGGTGGTTTGGGCTGTGCGTTTATAGATCACTATGTCAGTCTCCTTTGAGTTCTATATATTTAGATATTTATTGTAAATGAACTGACTTACCTATGCTCTGAGCCGCCACTATATGCACGAAGCCAGCGGCGAACAGTATGAGGCAGATGGGCAGCGACACCCACGCTACGTACTGGCTGAACGTCGATGTTGCTACGTCTTTGTACATCCACATGCGAGCTGCAATAATCAAGCACAATGTTGTAAAGCAACAGTCATATGCATTATGCACCTTATTACGAAAAAAATAAGGGTTACATGCCTGATGATGAAAAAACAAAGCCTATAGTTTGTTTTTTAATCCCGGAGACTAAATTGACAGGTGTAAATGTCATTTTCAAATAATGTTACCACCTATAGCGGAGTAGTGGTTTTTACTTTAAAACAGCAAAATATGTTAAATTGATGTTTATTTATGATATATGACACTATAAAAATGTAATTTGTTTTATTAAATAGACAGTTAGTCTTTATTTTAGTTAAAAATAAAAACTATTTTGATACAACAACCATATACTTATTAATATCTATACTTTATAAATTTTGTGTTAATGCATTTTATATAAACACTCACACGTTATTTCTGAATAACCTATAAAAATGGGTATATAATATTAATTTCCGATAGTGCTACAACCCTGTTTAAAAAATATAAAAACCTAGCATCATCGGAAACGTCAAATTTGTCTCCGGGATTACAAAACAGACTATAGTATAAATCCATTTTTACTATCGAAATTTGAAAAGAGTCAAGTTTCGAGCCCTTAATTGTTAAGAGGAGAATGGAGACTGTATGTGGACTGATGGGGGAGAAAAGGGATTGTTAGTAAATGTACCATGTCAGGTTGACTTTCAAGGGGTTCCCCCTGGAAAGCATCGTTATAAATTTTTAGTGAATTTGTCACGATGGGCTAACTGACTTGACCTCATGCTCATGTTATCATCCTCCACTGGCGCCCCGCCTGTGTAAACCGTTAGAACAGGCTGGTGCTCCATTCCATCATAATACAAAAAAAAATGTGGAGTCATGTCAGGTTGACCTCCACGCGGACCCCCGTGGAAACGATCGTGATTCTCAGGGAGCAGCATTCCATCATAATTATTTGAATATGTATATTGCATAAATAAATCGAACGTTAAGTCAATCGGTATTTTTAATCTATACTTGAGAATGCAAATTATGTCTCGGAACAAACAAAAAAAACCAATTACACTATTTACCTGTCGCTGTCCTTCGTTGCGTGGAACAAAAACTTCATTTTTAAATATATTTTAAATGTTAAGTTTTGTGAACTAATTGTATGCAACGAAACTTTAAGAATATCTCAGGACAACTCACTCTGCGCTATCTAGTCCCAAGCTATTTTGTACACACCTACTATATAGAGGTCGATACACCCAGACCGATAAAACAATAATACTTATGAATACAAATGTTTGGACCGTGCAAGAAATCGACCCCGCGATCTTTGGAAAAAAGCGAAAATTTTCGCAAGTAGCTTAATTTCGTAATGAAATTTCAGGGTGTCCTACCTCACTTTATCAATTTCTCTCATATAGTTCCCACTTTTTTTCATGGGGTGTTAATTATTAGTAATTCGGAAAAGAGAGTATTATTAGTAGAGTGGAACGTGAATATTTACAGCAAAATTGCGTTTGAAAGTATTGCTATCGCGCTTGGGTGAGGGGAAACGTAAACTCTCTGAATAGAGACAGAACTAATACTGGACAGTACCTACATCACAATTTTATTGTGTGGGCATACTCTGCCTAAATAATAATTTCTTCAATCGTCCTGTCTCTTTCACACAGGGTTCACGACATATTTATGAACCAGGAAGAAATATCATTCCAAATATATTTATTTTATATCATCAAATATTAACAACCGTGACCCGCAACTGGTATAAAATAGCAATATTTTAAATATTAAATGTCAGAATACTCTTAAAACCAGATTAGATTTACGACGTCATCTCATGTCGCGATTTATGGAGCATTGGAAACATAAATATACGGTTTGGAATGTGGTAAAGAATGTCATAGCCACGTGACGCGCACAGCACCATGTACTCTGTAATTCCACTGCCTTATCTCATCCAAATCTCATCTTACGATGCAATCTTCTTGGCGATTGAAATAGGGGAAAGAATGTCATAGTCATGTGACGCCCGCAGCACCATGTACTCTGTAATTCCACTGCCTTGCCTCATCCAAAACTGATCTTACGATGCAATCTTCTTGGCGATTGAAATAGGGGAAAGAATGTCATAGTCATGTGACGCCCGCAGCACCATGTACTCTGTAATTCCACTGCCTTGCCTCATCCAAAATTGATCTTACGATGCAATCTTCTTGGCGATTGAAATAGGGGAAAGAATGTCATAGTCATGTGACGCCCGCAGCACCATGTACTCTGTAATTCCACTGCCTTGCCTCATCCAAAACTGATCTTACGATGCAATTTTCTTGGCGATTGAAATAGGGGAAAGAATGTCATAGTCATGTGACGCGCACAGCACCATATACTCTGTAATTCCACTGTCTTGTCTCATACAAAACTCATCTTATAATGCAATCTTCTTATGAACAGGGACAATAAACAAAACTACTGAATAGATATTAAAGAAACTTTACAATGATTATATGTAGCTTTTACATCAGAATAACACATCGGCTATAAATTTCACGCGGGTGAAATTTCGAAGGCTTAACTAGTTGATAATATTACTCATATAATTAATGTTAATTCAATATCACTTACCATTGTTACAGATGCCTATCCCCCTGTCCATGGCGTAGTTGATGCAAGCCATGATGATGCCCAGTAACGCCAGGAAGATCCAGTCCTCGCCGAGCCGCGCAAATGTGTGCCTCCAGACATACCCTGTCACACACTTCACATCATTGTTCATTTACTTCATAATTATAACCCTGGACAATACACATAACTCTATCTAGTCCCAAGCTAAGCACAGCTTGTCCATGGATAGCCCTGGACAGTCCATATAACTCCATCTAGTCCCAAGCCAAGCAAAGCTTGTCTTATGGATAGCCCTGGACAGTCCATATAACTCCATCTAGTCCCAAGCCAAGCAGAGCTTGTCTTATGGATAGCCCTGGATAGTCCATATGACTCCATCTAGTCCCAAGCCAAGCAGAGTTTGTCTTATGGATGGCCCTGGACAGTCCATATGACTCCATCTAGTCCCAAGCCAAGCAGAGTTTGTCTTATGAATAGCCCTGGACAGTCCACATGACTCCATCTAGTCCCAAGCCAAGCAGAGCTTGTCTTATGGATAGCCCTGGACAGTTCATATAACGCCATCTAGTCCCAAGCTAAGCATAGCTTGTCCTATGGGTACTAGACAGTTGTTAGAAATACATAAATTTATATTTTTTTGTAAATACATACATAATAGACATAGAAAACACCCAGACAAATACAAACAATCATACTAATGAATGTCAATATTTGCATTGTGCAAATAATCGAATCCGCTAGACTACCGAGGCCGTCGATATTTATTGATTAAACTTATTGCTCGGCACCTATGACCAATCCCCGGTCAATCAAATGTAGACCAAAATTACAGAATACCAAAAAAATACGACGGCCTGAAGAGAGCTTCGAACCCCCTGTTATGCATTCAGGCTAAAATCGTATCAGTCAGTTAAGAGTTTTAAAATTTAACCGCTCCGTCTTTCCGCAGGTCTGTAGTTCCCGTTGCTTATTGTCATTTAATCCTTTTAGGCTTTTTCCAATGGTGATCAAATACCGACTATTACCGAGTCTACACCATATTGGGACCCGTGTATTGCCTCTGAACAAGGCATCATCAAGCATTTAATAGAGTTCGGACATAGCTTGGGAACCTAGTGCCGATTAACTGTTTAGTTTAGACCAAACTAACAAAATGATATAAATCCATAAAGTACCTCTGCTAAATAGCACGTAATTTGATCTACATCCACTGAATATTCATAACATCCATCAAGATGTCAAACTGTTCATACCTTAAAACTGATTAAAATGTTTGTCCCTAATGTAATATTGAAACTTCTTGTGTAGTGCAATTGTTTTTCTAATAAACGATAAATTATTGAACACATTGTTGTCCCTATCTTACATAATGTCAAGGACCGTTGGTAGTGTTTCTAAATATGCGACCACCACTGTATCTACAAAGCGTTAGATTTCAATAGCCCCTTTGGTTGAGTGACTTACCTAGAACCTTAAAGAATTTCCCCCTAGGTCTATGCTTTCCGGTAGCTTCCAGCTCCTTTTGCCGGAGTTTGTCGTCTTTCCGTCTCTTCTTTCGAAGTCTTCGTAGCCTCCTAGCTTCTTCCCTGGCAGCTTCACTGAGGTCGCGTTGATAGCGACCATACATCTGGAAAGATTAATAATAACTTTATATAGATAATGTATTTGCTTGAACATTTACAGTATATTTCTTACAAGTGTTTAGATACAAATATTCGCTTCATATTCGAGACGCATGCAAATTACAATATTAATGACTTACAAATTAATAAGCAGAAGAATAAATGATTAAATGTTAAGTCAATTCTCGCAAACTCTATTTTTTTGCACTTGTAACTGTTTTAAGTTACAAGTAAAAAAATATTACTCTGCGAGCCAGCATCTACTTCTTATTTGCACTATCGCACCACTTTATGTGGGGGTCGACTCTCCAAAAATTAGTAGAGTCGACCCCCATATAGTGGCGTTAGGACAAGCTGTTCTGGGTTGTCGGATAGGGCATATTTTTCCATCGCGATGTGTTTTTTTGTAACTGAAAATAATACATGTTACGAAGGTGTGCTTATCTCTGAAAGAGTTCTTCCTTCCAATTTAACGTTGACTTAATGGTAGAGGGCGATGGTAGTATAGGGAGTCGGACAGACGGTATAAATTCGTATTTATTAATACTTATACTTAAGTATAGTAGATATAGTGAAGAAATTATGTATACTAAAATAACTTTACCTTTAAATAGTATCTCCTTTTGAACACTGTTTTAAACTATTTTTTGCTTGTTTACAATAGTGTATAATGATAATAATAACCCCGCATAATTCACACAGCGCCATCTAGTCCCAAGCTAAGCAGAGCTTGTGTTATGGGTGCTAGACAACTGATATAAATACATGGATACATTTTTTTTGTAAATAAATACATATTATACATAGAAAACACCCAGACCGATACAAACAATCATACTCATGAATACAAATGTTTGTACCGTTCGAGGAATCGAACCCACGGCTATCGGATAGTAAAGCGGTGTGCTCAACCACTAGACCACCGAGGCTGTCAATAAATAGTATAAGTATAGTAAAATATAGTGTAGAAATTTATACGAATCTTTGGCCTTTGAATTTGACGACCTCGGTGGTCTAGTGGTTTAGTACACCGCTTTACGTCCGATGGTCGCGGGTTCGATTCCTCGCACGGCACAAACATTTGTATTCATGAGTATGATTGTTTGTGTCGGTCTGGGTGTTTTCTATATATAATATGTATGTATTTACGAAAAAAATATCTATGTATTTGTATCAGTTGTCTAGTACCCATAACACAAGCTTTAGCTAGCTTAACTTGGGTCTAGATGGCGCTGTGTGAATTGTCTTGAGATTATTATTATTATTATACACTAAAATAATATATTATATATAACTATATGTTAAAACAGTAGTAGCAAATCTGCTGTGAGTAGTATAATACTCAAAGTCACAGACGCCATCCTCAACCACCACTGGTCGACGTCAAACCTAGCGTCGATGACGGCATCAGTCAATCGACCAGTGAGAAGCACCGCTCATCACGCGACACATATGAACACCAATGAAAAGGGTGGATACTCCACCCCTATGTAATTTAAAAAACGTTAAGTTGTTGCAATAAACGCTTCATGAGAAGAGGTCACAGTTTCATTTAAAAACACTCTTCCTTATCAAACAACAAATTAACACTATAGATACCTTCTTTATGTTTATATAGTATCGTATTTTGAATACTGTTTTAAACTGTTTTTTGCTTGTTTACAATTGTATATTATGGGATATTAACAATGACAATATTATTTAAGAGTCCCTTAGGGAAAATTCCGAAGACACTGGCAGCGTTTTGGCACTGGCCCTCTTTGAATGGCTAGACTAATTCTTTCTCCGTCCGACTAATTTAAGAGTTCGTGATATTTCGACGCTGTTACAAACGTTTTGTTTATCGTTCTATACACCTACATACATTTTTATAAGAATGAGAATTTATTTAAATTAATTATATTTACAATTTCAATAATTATTAATATTAAAAATAATATATAAAATAAATTACATTAATAATTACATTGATACAGACAATAAAAAAAAAAAGATAAAAAAAAAAAACACCTAAAAGTTAATTGCTATGATTGTCCTGTATCGTACCCGGCTTAAAGGTTCCCATAACGCTCGCAGCATTTAATTTCTACAATATTATCATGCTAAATAACCCATTTGTAAAATGTATACAATTAACTGTTTTCCTTTATTCTTAAATATAGGCTGCAGTGGGCTAATGATGATGATGACGACGATGATAAGTCTACGTTACGACTGGTCTCCTCTAATCACTATGACTGATTTCCTCTTTTGAAAACAAGGCTTTTCAAAATATATTTCGACGTCATTTCTTGTATTCAAAGGAACAAATCATATTTATTTACTTAGAATTGTAAACGAAAAACAAAAAAATATATCTAAATATAAAAAAAAACAATGTGAAAACTTACCTGTTAAAACTCAAAACTTTGTCAACTCGTAATGTTAACTTTTTCGACAGTACCCTCAGTTTACTTTTTTCACTTATTGAATGATTGGCGACTGTCTTTAAAATATAATAACCTACAATTAAAATATCAAGTACGTGTGCAGAAAAAAAATATTTTTGCCTCAATTGGGTACAGCAACCGTTAATGGGTTAATTATCAACATCAGAACTAGCCCGCTCGACTGCACAAATTTTCGCGGAGTTTCCAAAAACGGGACAATTTTACGTCCCAGAGCTTGTGGGGACACCGGGACTCGTAGTAATAAAAAGGACAGTCCCGTTTAAAACGGGACATCTAGTCACGTTAGTCAGGCGTCATGCATGCGTAGTACGAAAGTACATATAAAGTACATAGGCGTACGTTTCCTGCGATGTGCTAAGTAAGTTTTTTAGCGTAATTTAATGCGACACGAGTTTATTATACGGGGCTTTAAGGTCAAGGCAAGGTCGAGGTCAATATGTTGTTTTCAAAACCATGCAGATTGAATTTTTTTTACCAAGTTCAAAAAGGAGAGATCCTAAGTTTTCCTGTTTTATGTACCAAAATTACAAAGAAAAAATATTTTTTCTTCGCAATCAATCAGAGTTTGCTTCCAGGTCGGTTCTTTTTTTTATACCACTATAGTGGCAAACAAGCATACGGCCCATCTGATGGCAAATAGTTGCCGTAGCCGATAGACGAAACACTGTACTAATTTTGATAAAGTTCAAATAAATAATTAGTTTATTTGTAAAGGATTTTGAATACATAACACATATGATATTATTGAAAACATGGCCTTTACAAAATCTGATTATATCAAGCGTAATAATCTTTAACGACCGACGGCGACCTCGGTGGTCTAGCGGTATAGCACACCGCTTTAAGACCGATGATCGCGGGTTCGATTCCTCGCACGGCATAAACATTTGTATTCATGAGTATGATTGTTTGTATCGGTCTGGGTATTTTCTATGTACCTATCTGGGTATATTATAATATACATGTATTTACAAAAAAGAAAATAAAATCTATGTATATGTATCAGTTATTTAGTACCCATAACACAAGCTTTAGCTAGCTTAACTTGGGTCTAGATGGCGCTGTGTCAATTGTCCCGAAATTATTATTATTACTTAAGTTTATTAATCTGTATTAAGCTATTGATTGTATATATAGTTATTGTATTCTATTATTCTGTACGTCAATTTATATGTATATCTGAATGTCTTCAGCTACATAAACTTATTTGTAGAAAAAAAAAATTACTCACAACAAATTATTATTGCTCTAGTCTTACTGAATTTTAAATTAATTATGGTCGAATTTCCACCACTGACCACTGGGCGATGCGACGTCCAATTCAAACGGGGATCGATATTACGACGGCCAGAGCCGAGGTTTGAACTCCCAACCGGTGCCCTCAGACTAAAGTCGTATTCGTCAGGCGGGAGTTTGCCTTCAGCCGCTCTATAAGTCCTTCCTTAGGTTTGAAGTGCCATCTGCACTCGCCCCCTATCGTCCGGTGAAGCTGTAAAGGCCAGCTGCGGCCAACAGCATTAGAGTAGTCCGAAAAAAAAACAAGTATATAATTCTAACACGTGCAAATTACGAGCAACATAGGTCATTACCATTGTAAAGTACCATACCATATAAGACAATTATTGCCACAATTAAACGAGTGTGGGCAGTGTTATTTTTAGAGATGCATTTACAATGCAACGGGACACTTGTACTTTATAGACGTCATCAGACTCCAGATAAGATACCTACTCTTATTTATTTATAAATCTTTATTGCACCAATATTAAAAGCATATACATATATATATATATATATATATATATAACATTACATAAAAGAAAGAAGAAGGTACAGAAGACGATCTTATCGCTAACGCAATCTCTTCTGGACAACCTTAAGAAAGAGAGTATTAAAAAAAATAAAGCAGACGGCACATGAGTGGAAATAAGATAATAAACTTAAAATAAAAAAAAAATGAAAATTATTTACACTTATGTAAATAATTTTCATTTTTTAGTAAATTAAAATTAAATGTACAGAAGATGTACACCAGAATAGGTTTAAATAGTAATATACACTAAAATAAACTATTAATATATAACTAAATAGTAATATTTAGTTATTGCAAATATATGTATGTGTAAACATACATATATTTGCAATATACATTTATGTATGTATATTTGCAATATACATACATAAAAAATACACATACATTTAGAAATAGAAATAGAAATAATCTTTATAACACTTTTGAATAGTCATATTTTGATTCTACCACTCATTCGGAATGCAGATTCATCACAAGAGGAATGAGCAAGAAACTTCTGTGTTGCTCTTTTAAATAGATGTTTTTTATATAATAATTACAGTATAACAAGTAAGAGGCATATAATCAACATAGAAATCGCTACGCACTTATTATTAGTGTAATCAGATAATATTGTCAGTGCTATGGATTTTAAGGTTTTCTATAAAAACATTATTATTGTTAACGAATTCTTCAAGTTTATAGTAAGCTGTTTGCAAAGGAAGTGTTTTATATGACATTTAAATCTTTTCTCAGGCAGGTA